TCCAGACCTCCATTTGGAAGGACTCGGGTCTTACTGACTTACTCGGGTTCCCATGCGGTGTGGGTCTCCACCAGAGCTGCCGATGCACCATAGTGACATGGCAGGAGGGAAAGATCCAAAGTGATCCAGTCACACAGAAACTGCACCCAAATGGGTATGCCTCTGTCTCCCTCTCCACTCTGACTCTTCTACTTCTGAGATTTGTTTTCCGTGGAGACAGACTCTATAGGGCTTCCATGGTCATTTATCAGATAGGTGACAAGAGATGGTTCGAATGTGTCTCAGTCAGCTTCTCAGATGCCATCTGCTGATACCTGAAGGTCAGCACATACCGGAATTCTACAAAACTGAAGCACGTCACCGATGAGTAACCCGCAGGGCTCATGTCTCTCCAGAGCTTTCCAGATAGCTCTATCTTGCCCAGGCAGGCTTTGAACTTGAAAACTTCCTGACCCGGACTAATGAGTACCTGGTATTAAGAGAAGGGAGCACTACATCAGGCTGACAGGGTTTTTTTTTAGTTACTTAGTTGATCATTAAAATGCAAAGAGATCTTTCCTTTCACCAGGAATTTGTGGTCCAAAAGTAAAAGTCAACTTTGAGCAGAGAACAGTTTTCACCCACAAGCAGCTTCAGTGCGGGTGGCATCTACAGGAAGGACACTGGGAGATTAGCAAGATACTGTTCGGATGTGTGACTTCCACAGCCAGCGATGCTTAAAATCAGTTAACAGCCAGCGAACCCTGGGATTGACTTAGCTTTTCCCTCAGTTAAGCAGTGGCCTCCGTCTGGAAGGCCTGGGGGTCGGGGTGAAGCCACAGAGGCCTGGCCCTCAGAGTCAAGGGAGAGGAACATTGGAGCCTAGAAGAGTGGTGGCATGAGGTGGACAGCAGACATGTGGCAACCTGGGCCCTGCCCAGCCCACATATTAACCCCCCAGCACCTGCCCTGCCCTGGGGCGCTCAGCGGGCGGAGCTGGTGCTCAGGACTCAGCACTGGGGGGCTGGTGTGGAGCTCTTCTGTCCTCCGTGATTTGAAACCAACAAGACTGGGGTCTCCTCCCAACCAAGGTCTCTTCTACAGCCTGGACTTAGCAGGCCCCAGAGAAGGAGGCAAGGGATGGGGCAGGAAGAGGCCACCATTGGTCCTGTGTCCTTAGAGGGGGCAGGAAGGGCACTGTGCACACGGGCGCTCAGGGGAAGGAGACAGGTACCCACTGTGTGCCCTCTGGGACCTCCCCTCCTTCCCTCCCTCCTTCTCCATCTCCTCCGCTTTTCCATGCTTTTGCCCTTCCTTTCATTTCCCCATTTCATCCCTTCAGAAGGGATTCCTGACTTCCTCTACAGTCTCAGTCCTGGGCTGGGAGTGCCTGTTGAGCAGTCACTGTGTTTGTCAGGTGCCCTAGAAGGAGAATGTCCCTACACAGATGAGCAAGCTGAGAAATGTTAGCGGGAAAAGGCCTTGGTGTACTGGGAACCAGTGATGCTGAGCAGATGGAATTCCACACAGGCCTTGGATGAGAGGGATGAATCTAGGCAAAGAGAGTGAGGAGAGCATTGAGGGAGGGGAAGAGCTGTGCAAAGGCCCTGGGGCTGGAAAGATTATGCATTGCAAGGGTCTGAGGAAGGTCACTCTATGTGAAGAAAGTCATTGAGCCATTGAAGTTGGAGATTGATCCCATGTGTGGAGCTAAAGCAAGACCAGGCCTAAAAATCCAGAGAGCTCAAAAAGAGCCATATAAACAAGCTATTTCAGCACCTAGCAGGCAAGGGGCCCAGGCCAGCCCGAAAAACCAGTAGCTAGGCAGTGGGGTTGAAACCCACATTCTTCTTTGGAGGGTATAAATAACCTGCTCCAGTGGCTGAGCAGTGCCTTCTCTGCCATCAGGAGAGCAAGGGCTCCTCCTGCCCCCAGCGTTGGCCCTTCTTTATTTTCTCTCCTCTCCCCATCTTTCCCACGACTGTGAACACCTCAAGCTGCAGCTGGTGGATGCGGGAAGGGGAGCAAAGCAGAGGGATGCAGGGATGTGAGGGGAGGGTGGGCCGGGGTGGGCACAGTGTCACCCTTTCTGGTTTTTTTTTTTTTTTTAATTAAAGGAAGACAGTTTATTTGGGGAAGGGTGGGAGAAAGAGAAGACAGCTATTCGGGAAGAGCAGGGAGCATCAGGATGTGAACACCTGTGCAGAGCAGTGACAGGAGCAGATTCACGGGCTCCTGGGCAGAGGGGCGCTGTTAGTGGGGCAGGGGGTGGCTGAGAGAGACCTGGGGAAGTCAGGAAGCTCTTGCAGGGTGGTGGGAGATGGCGGTGGGTGTGGCTAGGATGGTGGAATACACAGCAAAGAAGTCGATGGCTCTAAAACACGATTTGGAAGCAGACTTCTTCCTGGCTGTGGGGAGATGGATCCTATCGTGGTTGATATCTAGGCGCTCCTGCATGCATGGTGCACTCACAGGTGGGGACTTGAGCTGACTGGATCTTGGATTCATCCACTGATACATTCAGAGTTAAATATGATGTTGGAGCCGGGCGTGGTGGCTCACACCTGTAATCCCAGCACTCGGGAGGCTGAGGCAGGAGGATTGTTGGGAGTTCCAGACCAGCTTGGGCTACAAAGTGAGCTCAAGGCCAGCATGAACTGCATAGTGCCAGACTCTGTCTCAAAAAGACCAAAAAAAAAATGATGTTGGAGTCGAGGCCTGGTCGGAGGAGGCCACTGTGGGAAGTGGACAGGAGGTGTTTATCTCCCACCCAGCTCCCTTGATCTCTCTGTGCTTCCTGTCTCCTTGCCATGAGCTGGTCTGCTCTGCCCCGGCCCTCTGCCATGCTGCCTGCCTCGGGGCCAACTGACCCTGCCCTGAAACCTCTCCAGACCTTCAGCCAAAATGAACCTCTCCACTAACACGACGAGGGCATCGGGTATTTTGCCCCAGCAACAAGAAAGTGACTAAGATGGAGCCACGGATTGACAGCACCCTCATTCAAAATCCTAGCAGGTTCACTGGCAGAAGCTGAGCAGTGACTCAGAAAGTGTAAGAGTGGCTGATGAGGAGCAGGGAGCTCGAGGGTGTCAGGACCCCAGACAGTGAGGGGAGAAACTGGAGCCTGGAGCAAACACATATGGACTTAAAGGATGGATGCCAAAGACTGCAATGGGTGCACACACGGACACACGCTTGTCTAAGACAGTGCGGTGCTCCCATGGGTGTGTGGAGGAACACCAGGATGTGGCAGGAGTGGCTGTGACCCGCTAGGAGAGGGGGCCAGGATGTCAGTGGTTTCCGAGAGTGGACCAAACTCTGCACCACTCTCTGGCCCCTCCCCAGAACATGGAGGGCCTCAGGGCTACATATGTGCCCGGCCTATCTTTGAGCACTAAATATCCAGGTACTCATCCTCCAGGGAGCACCACTGTGAGAAGGCCATGTGCAGGGTAATGTCCAGGCCCTGTCGCTCTGTTACAGGAGACAAGAAGAGCAGCCCAGGGGACACCACGCTGTCACATACCATCCCATCTTTCCTTCTGGGACCGACTCAGTCTCAAAGTCCCGTGCCTCAGTTTCCCCGTGTGTAGGTGGAGATGTAGAATGCGGTGAGAGTGATAAGGTGGCATAGGGTTTCCCAGTCTGGCTGAGGTCCAGGGCCCCATGAGCACTGAGCAGCTGTGGGCAGGGTGAGGAAGCCGACCACGAGAAGGGCAGGGGCTGCCCTGCTGGCCGGGGAGTGGGGACCAGGCTGTTAGGGTTGGGAGAAGCTGAGGGAAAGGGAAGTGCGGCTCCTCTTCAAGAAGGGTGATACAACTTCCTGCGGTACAGTCGCGTCGTGCTCTCTCCCACAGTTTCTTCAGCTCAGATGCGTGGGCAGAGCCTGGACTGAGCGGTCCTGTGTGTCACCAACCCCTGTACCTCTCCACCACTGCTCAAGGGTGGCTGTGTGCCCTGCTACTGAGATCCCAGTGCCTGGGTGACAGGCAACTCGTTGCCAATCAGAGCCCTCACTGCCCCTGTGATCAAGGAAGATTCAGATTGGCCAGGAAACTCACGGCACTCAGAGAAGCATCTAAGGAACCTTACTAAAATCCAGGCTTCTGCCCCCACCTGTGGCATTGCAAAGGTGGGGACCAGAGTCTGAGCCAGGCAGCCAGCCTGATGAGCCTGGGTCCAGGGGAAGACTTTGTGGATTCGCCAGGAATGAGGTCCGGTCCTGGGTGCGATGTGACAGTCATATTTCCTGAACCAAAGCTGTTGTAAGACCCTGTCTCCTCCTCTCTAGGGTGTAAGGGCAGAGGGCACCATGCAAATGCAGGCCAATCTTTGGGAGTCTTGCTCTAGGTGAATGTAATAGTCGCTGACCTCAGGAATGATATGAACTCAGAACCAAAGGCTCAAACCAGGGATAAAATGGCCACCAGGCCTTGGTGCTACCTAGTGATTGCAGGGAGCCCTTGCCTTGCAGAGAGGGGATAAAGAGCAGGCCTGGAGCCTGGTGCCAGGCTGGGAACCGAGGGCGGGTGAGCCCCACCATCACTGTCCTCATCCTCTGTGAAGCTGAGCCCTGGGCACAGCCAGGAAGAGGCTCACAGCAGCTCTCCTGCCCCACAAGCCCCGGTGGGTAGGCAGCCCCTTTCCTGCCTCATCAGAGAAGCAGACTGGGAGACACTCAGAGAACCTAAGGGAAAAGAGACAGAGGGACCCAGGATGAGGTGGGGAGGGCATGAAGAAAGGAAACAGAGCCACACGAAAGAGTTAAGAGACCCAGAGAGGCAGCTGCGCAGCACCCACCCAACAAGTGGCCCGGGGGAGTAGGTGAGTGAGGAGGCCCAGGAGGCCCAGCTCTGCTCCATGTCTCTCAGTGGAAGAGGAGCCTGGGGACAGAGGACAGGCTACCTTGAAATTGTACACAGGGGAGGCCCTTCTGCAATGCAGGGAAAGAAGAAGTCTGATGGACAGGGGAAGTGCTGGCCACAGGGTGGAAATGGGCTGACCACGCCCTCCCTCAGTCCTCAGCGGGAGCTGGCCCTGGCTCTCCAGACTTCCCTACCCAGCTCTCCCCTCTCCTGAGTCCCCAGAGCCCTGCTGTCTGCCTTGGTGGCTCTGCTGGCTCACACCCTGGAGGAGAGCAGGCCATGGGCTGGGTCCTGCTGCTGCTCTGGCTGCCTGCAGTGTCCCTGCAAGCTGGTGAGTGAAGGGACAGCCCTGCCAGGGGCTCTGAGCACACCCAGGAGGGGCCAACGGGAAGAGGAGCGGCCCAGTGGGCACTGGCAGAGGGTCTGTGGGGGGAGCCAGGTCCCTCCCCTCCCCACAGGGCTGCTGCACAGGGCGCTGTACTCCCCCCATGCCTGCTGTCCTCCCCGAGCCTGGAGAAGGACGCCAGGCCGGAGGGACAGTCCTGCCATCTGCTGCATGACTGCCTGTGGATGCAGGTGCTGAGGGCCTGAGGTGCCCTCTGCGTCCTCAGTGCCTTCGACCTCTCTCCTCCCGCCTCTTCCAGCTAACTCAGCCAGATCCAGCAGAGAACTCTCCTATGGGGTTATTCAGCCAAAAAACCTCTCTGCTGCCATCGGTGGCTCCCTTGAAATCCCCTTCTCCTTCTACCACCCCTGGACCTTGGCCAGGAATCCCCAAGTGAAACTGTCCTGGAGACGGAACCACTTCCATGGGGAATTTTTCTACAACACAAGTCCACTCTTCACCCATGAGGATTTCAGGGACCGGCTCTCCCTGAACTGGACAGAGAACCTGCAGTCTGGTTCCCTCAGAATCCAGAAGCTGCGGAAAGAGGATGAGAACGTGTACTTCTGCCGAGTCCAGCTGAAGACACAGAGGGAAGGCACAAAGATGTGGCAGTCCATCCAGGGGACCAGAGTCAGCATCACCCCCGGTGAGCCCGCGCCAGTCCAGGCTCCTCTGTCTCCTGTGGTGGCTTCCACTTCTCTCCCACCTCTGCTGTCAGGACCCCTGGATGTCACCTCAGGCTCCACCCCTCCTGACCCTCCTCTCAGGCTCCTCTCCCCTGACACATCCTTCACCTTTTCTCTTCCCCATATTCCTCTCCACCCTGAGCTGGGGTCCCCGACCTGGCTTCTTGCTGTCTCCTCAGATCCAGCCCCACCCCACCTGCACCTGTAGCACCCGGCAGACCCCCGTTACCTCCCCTCTTCCTCCACACTGGGCTGCTCCACCTGGGCTTCCTTGCCTCACCCCATCACCTCCAGGTGGCTGTGACTCCTCTGTGGTTTCCGTCTCTACGTCCTGTGTCTGGACCCCGGGAAGCCACAGGGTGGTGCCACAGCTTCGCTTCCACCCTGCCCCTAGCTCAGCTCAGAACGCACAGCAGGTGCCCAGTTAGTTAGTGGCCTCAGTGCCCTCTGGGCCCCCGTAACCCCCATCACCTTGTTTCCCATCCTCCCCACTTCCTTTCCCAGTCTGTTCCCCAAACCACACTGGGAGACTGAGGCCAGCACAGCCTAAACACCTGCACCATCACGCTAGCAGTGCCAATGGGACCGAGAGGGACTGCAAAGGGTTCTCTCTCACCACAGCCTCATATTCCCAGTGGGTCTTGAGCTTCTCGTTCACCTAGTAACAGGGTCACAGCCTTACCGACTCCGTGCAACACTCTGCAGGGCTGTGGAATCAGAACCTCAGGTCAGTGCAGAGTGGTCAGGGGTTGGGGGGAGCTCACAGGTGGAGGCAATAAGGTTGTGCATTGAAAACATTTTGTAACTTTGATAATCAACTAAGTGGGTTAAGTGGATTTGCTTTGAATAAGCATTTCCTTTAGCCATCGTTCTCACCACGGGCAGTGACAGCCGGCTCCTCCCTGCCAGGACAGACGCTGCCTTTCTCTGTAACTCACTGCCAGCACTGAAGTACTGTACTGATTGCAGAGCAAAGGGAGCATGGCCTGCATCACACACGGTTCAGAGCCCTAGATTCCAACGTCCAGGAGCCTCCACGTGTTTCCTTAAAGAGCCTCTCCTGAAGCTCTGCGGTTCCCTGCCCGCTCTTACACTCTGTCTAATTCCCCCTTGCTTTCCTTCTTTCTCTGCTTCTGTCACCTGTACTGTAAGGGTTTCATTTGCATGTATTTTTGCAGGGGTATGGATTGAACCCAAGTCTTTAAGCACGGTAGTTGAGTGTTTCTGTCAGAGAGCCAGACCCTCAGCCCTACCTTGAGTTTTTCCATCAACACATTTTTAAATTAATCAACTTAATTGAATATTCACACCTTTATTTAAAAAACCAAAGAAATACTTTTAATCTAACTGAAAGACCAGCATGCAAATGTATCAGAAACTGCAGAAATACAGCAAATACAATCAAGTTTGTTCTTAGCTTGATTTGCTTTATATAATTTTATTTTTCTAATCAAGTCTAATTGTATTTTCCTTTATAACATTTTTTTTTTTTGAGACAGGGTCTTGCTCTGTCATTCAGACTGGCCCTGAACTCACTATGGAACCGAGGCTGGCCTTGAACTCACCGGCAATCCTCCTGCCTCAGCCTCCAAGTGCTGGAATTACAGGCATGCGCTGCCACACCTGGCTAATATTTTTTTCTAAACAAAAATTTTCTTTCTTCACTAGTGACTAAAAATACTTTCAATTCAAAATGTTTTTCTAATTTTTGTATGGTTTTTCACAATAAAATTTTCTCTCTCTCTCTCTCTCTCTCTCTCTCTCTCTTTTTTTTTTTTTTTTTTTTGTCTTTTACCTTTTTATCGGTACCGGGGATCGAACTCACGACTGCCTGCTTGCAAGGCAGGCGCTTATGCCACTGAGCTAAATCCCCAGCCCCTCAATAAAATTTTTAATAGTGAAAATTTATTTTGGTATATGGCATGAAGGACCCCAAAAAGTAGATCTTTATGGCAAGCAACTAATGAATCCTAACCCATTTATTGAATATTTTTTCTCTTCTCAGTATCCCCCTTTTTTTCTTTTTCCAGTGCTGAGAATCAAATCATACATGGTAGGCAAGTGCTCTAGTACTGAGCTACATTCCCAGCTGTAGGCCTCATTTCTGGATTCTTTTGAAGAATAGCATTCATTTCTGGTGGGTTTGTTTTGTTTCACTAAATTGTCTTTTCTTCCATCAGGACCACACTGTGTTGTGATTGTAACTTTATCACATGGTTTCAATGGCTGATGAAACTATTTCTATCTCAGCCACATTACTTATTCCTCAAAAAATTTGTTATTGCTACTTTCCTATTATTTCATAGAAACATTAGAAAAAAATTGCCAAGTTTAGAGAAAACGCTCTCTGTGATCTTTTAAATCTCAATTGCATTAAACCTATTGACAGACTATGCATCATATATGATCTTCCCACTCAGGAAGGGGTCCTACTTTATATCCCCCAGAAAACCTCAGCAATGATCTTCTAAAAATCATATGTATATGTCCTATAAGATTTTTGTTGCTGTATTTTATATTTTATAATTAATGAAAAATATTAATTTTTGAATTTTTAAATAATTTTAATATAAAAATAGGGCATAAATTCTGGCCACGACAGCAGAATATACGCACATGCTTAACTTTATTCTGACTCAAAATATACCAAAGCAAAAGAAATTTTTAAAGACAAAAAGAACTCCAGAATAAAAACTGCGAGCCAGATGTCCAAAAATAAAACTTGAGAGGCTGGGAAGACTGACAGATCTGGTGGAGGAGACCAGAGGTGCTGAACCCTGAGCCAGTAGTGAGGGACCCAGAAAAATAGCAGTTTACACCACAGAATGCCGGAGAGGCTCAGCAATGCCAGTTTCAGGTATCCCAGAAAGTGGGACTCAGGGCGGATCTGGAAATTAGAAGGCTGATTAAAATCACAAAAGCCAGCTGTCTTAGTCACTTTTCTCATCACAAATACCGAACACCCAGACTTACAGGAGGAAAGGTTTCTTTTGGCTCCCATTTAGGCCCATGATTGGCTGGCTCCAAGGCAGACGGGAAGCAGAGAGAGTCAAGGGGGGAGCTGGAAAGGGAGATGTAACCTCCAGGAGGAGGAATCAACAAAGAAGACAAGAGAAAGGGCCAGGAGGGACAAAGGAGGAGGAGAGAGTGGGGTCTCAGAATCCAAATGAACAAATCCGAAGGGCGAGTATCAAATGCCAAACGGCTGGGCATGGCTGTGTGCACCTGCAGTCCCGGCTGTTTGAAGGCTGAGGGGCTGGAGGGTCAGTCAAGCTGAGTTCAACACCAGCCTGGGAAAAATAGGGATACTCTGTCTTTAAAAAAAAAAAAAAGACACCTGAAAAGTTGAGTGAGATGAAGAAAATGGGGGTGCACGTGTTATTTAGAAATATTAGGTTAATGTGTTTTTAAAAAATAGCTAAATGGCAGGCATGGTAGCGCACGTCTGTAACTCCAGTACTGTGGCGGGTGAGGCAGGAGGACTGTGGGAAGGGAAGGGAGGGCAGAGCGCGGGGGCAAAGGGAGAAGGACAGGGCAAGAGGAGGGAGACAGCGAAAGTTGTTGAAATAGTGATTCCGAGAAATGGGAAGCAGATATGGGGCCCGTATGGGATGTTGCTGCTTTTTACAAGCTGTGCAATATTTGTTGACTCTAAAATATGACCCTATACAACTTTGAAAAAAGGTTACATTTTAAAATTAATAATGTGCTGGTAATACTTGCCCATAATAAAAAATGTCCAAATAGTATGCAAGGAAGTCAAATGAAAAGCACAGTAACACCCTGCGTGGCCTACTTTAGCTCCCCGTTACCACCTCATCTCTCTCTCCGTGAAAGGTCTCTTGTAGGCATAGATACACCACAAATTCACTCTACTGTGCTCTACAACTTGTTACTTTTCCTTAGTGTACCTTGCAACCTTTTTTGTTTCAGTGCATAGACATCTGGGCGCTTTCCTTCTCTCTGTCTCTGTCTCTGTCTCTGTCTCTGTCTCTCTCTCTCTCTCTCTCTCTCTCTCTCTCTCTCTCTCTCTCTGTCTCGGGACGGCTACCTAGTATCCCACTGTAGCCATATCACTATTTATTTCATCAGTCTCCTAAGTTAAAGACATTGAAGCAGGTGCCGCATCACAAATATCACTTCAAAGAACACCCCTAAATACAAACCTCGTTGCCAAGATTATGCCCCTTTATCCTACCATTGTGGTGAGAATTTCTCCTTCCTTAAACCCTGGCTGATGCTTGATATATTCCTCCACCCAGATCAATTTAAAAATAAAAAGGCTACCTCTTGTTTAATATGCATTTGTTTAAAAATGTGAATAAATATTAGCATCAGGATTCTGGTATTATTAAATAGTTGTAGTGTTTTCCACATTTCCCTGTATACTGGGAATGTCTATCTGAAAATTATCTGTTCCTTGAATTTTTACGAGAATTTCTCCACATAACTTCCTAAACTTGGAATGTGTCTAAAAGTTCCTTTTTTGTTTTAAGTCGCTTAAGTCACAGAATAGTGGGTTTCATTTTGGTGTATTTGTACATACATGTGATATATTTTGCTTATTTTCACGTTCCCTGATATTCCCCTCCCCCTTCACCTGATCCCCTTCCACTTCTCTGTAGTCTACTTTCCTGTGATTTTTAAAAATATTCCATCTATAAGAAAACATGCTGTCTGACTTTCTGAGTCTGACTGATTTTGCTTAACATGATGATCTCCAGTTCTATTTTTCTGCAAATGACATGATTTCACTCTTTCACATCTGATTAACAGTCCTTGTGTATATGTACAGTACCATATTTTCTTTATCCATTATCTGTTGATGGGCACCAAGGCTGGCTTTATAACTTACCTATTGTGGTTTGAGCCACAACTAATGTATGTAGGTATCGCTATAGTATGGCAACTTTTTAGCTCTTCTAGAAATATACCGGAGACTGACACACATAGCTAGATCAAATGACAGCTCTATTTTTTTCCCCCTGAGGAATCTCCACACTGATTTCCATAGCAGCTGTACTAACTTACATTTCCACCAGCAGTGGAGAAGAGTTTTGCCCCCACCTGCGTTTTTATGGTCTTGATGATAGATAGCCATTCTGACAAGAATGAGTCTCAGTGTAACTTTGATTTCCATTTTCCTAGTGGTTAAAGATGAACACCTTTTTATATATAGTATTTATTGGTCATTTGTACGTCTTCTTTTGAGAAGTGCCTGTTCATTTGCACATTTATTGACCGCGTTATATTTCTAGTTAAGTTTTTGAGGTCTTTCTGTAGTGTGAATGTTTACCAGCAGAGGCGTAGCTGGCAAAGATTTTCTCTATCCTGGAGGCTGTCTCTTGGCTGTTGATTGTTTCCTCTGCTGTTGCTTGAGGTCGGCCCATTTGTTGATTCTTATTATCTCCTGTCTTATTGGCATCCTGTTCAGGAAGTCTTTACCTGTGCATATGACTTGAAGTGTTTCCCTTAGTTTTCTTCTGTCATTTCAAAGTTTAAGGTCTTATACTTAGGTTTTTGGTCCATTTTGAATTGATTTTGTACTGAGTGAGAATTAGGGATTTAGTTTCAGTCTTCTTCATATGGATAGCCATTCTTTTTCCGTATCAGGAATCAAACTCAGGACCTTGAGCTTGCCAGACCGGTGCTTATGCCGCTGAGCTGTATCCCGGCCCCTGGATGTCCAGTTTTCCCAGCACCAATTATCAGTGAGGTTATCTTTTTCCCCAATGTGTTCTGGGCCCCTGCCTGTAGAATGAGATAGCTATAGGTCTTCCTGTGTCTTTTATTTCTGTTGTCTATGTGTCAATTTTTGTTCAAATAATGTTTTGGGGGAGGGTTGGTACTAGGAATCAAACTCAGGACCTCATGCGTGCTGGGCAGGCACTGTGGTGCAGAGCTTTGTCCCCAGCCCAGTGACGTGTTTTTGTTACCATGGTTTTGTAGTGTGATTTGAAAGCAGCTATTGTGATACTCCCAGCCCTACTCATTTTGCTCAGGGCTACTTTGGCTATTCTGGGTCTTTGTGCTTCCATATGAATTTTAGAATTGATTTTTCTAGTTTTGTGAAGAATCTCATTGATATTTTGATAGGGATTGGACTGAATCTGTAGATCACTCAGTACGTTTTAGTCAAGTTAATATTAATTCAGACACTCCAAGAAGGGTATCTTCAATTTCTTTTTTCAGTATTCTATAATTTTCAGTATTGAGGGCTTTAATGCCCTTTGCTAGGCTTATTCCTGTGTGTGTGTGTGTGTGTGTGTGTAAACTAGTGAAATGGAATTGTTCTCAAATTCTTTTTCAAGGGTTATTAGTGTCTCCTGATTTTGTGTGTTGTTTGCTGTCACTTTGTTCAATTTGTCCATCAGAATTAAAAGCCTTCTGGGGGAGTGCTTCTAAGAAAAGAATCATATCATCTGCAAAGAGAGGTGATTTGACTTTTTTCTTGTTTATATCCCTTTTCTTTCTCTCATCTAATTTCTCTGGCTAAAATTTCAAATACTATATTGAACAAGAGCATCAAGAATGGACACCCTTGCCAGGCTTGGTGGCACATGCCTGTAATCCCAGCACCCAGGAAGCTGAGGCAGGAGAATCATTGCAAGTTCAAGACCAGCCAGGGCTACAAAGTGAGCTCAAGGCCAGCCTGGACCGCATAGTGAGACCTTGTCTCAAAAACACACACACAAAAAAACAAGGACACCCTTATTTTGTTCCTGTTTTTAGAGTAAATCTTTCAGTCTTTGACCATTTAGTATTATGTTGTCTGTGAGTTTGTCAAATATACTTTTGTTATACTGGGATAGGATCCTTCTATAGCTAAAAACTTCTTCCAAATTTTTATCATGAAGGAATGTTTTAATTTCATCTAAGGCTTTTTCTGGATCTATTGAAATGATCACATGATTTTTATCTCAATTCTATTTATGTGGTGAATTATATTTATTGATTTATGTGTGTGGAAGCTTCAAAAGGTATTTCCTTAATAGCATTATCAATCTCTTTGTATACCCTTCAATTCAGGTTTACTGTTTCTTAAATCATTTTTTTAAAATTAATATTTGAAAAATAATTAATATTTGGTTCAAAAAACTATGCATTCCACAGAGATTTTTACATTTATTGGCTTACTGAGCATACATTCATTGATGACATCAATTAATTTTATTGTTAGATAGGGTGATGTCTTTTTGGTTTTCTTCTAAATAACAAGGTCCTGCATTTATTTTTTTTATTACTATCTATCAATAAACTTATTCCCAAATAGGTTGTCATTATTTTCTGCCTTTGAGTTTTCACTGGGCTGGCTACTCTCATTTTGGTACTTTTTCTTCAGAAATTGAATGTTTAAGTCATTAAAATAATTTCCTCTCATTTTAAATAATGAGTTTAGTATTATGAATTTAGTCTATTTAGTCACACTCCAGGTTTTAATATACATATAATGCTCTTTATTTTCTAAATGACATGTTATTATGTATTATTTAATTTTTAAAACTTTCAGTTCTCAAATGAGATGGTATTTATACTTTTACTAATTTGTTTTCAAACTTTTAATTGACATATAAGTACACATATTTATGGGGTATGGTGTGATGCTTACACACCTGTAACTTTTCTTAATTTCTAATTAAGGGTGGAAAAAGAATTTGGCCCATATCCATCTAAAGATGTTACTGAAGTCTGTAATTTTTTTGTAAGACTCAGTACTATATCAATTTTTAAATAATGCATTAAACATCCACAAAGAAGGTATAATCTGTTTGTAGGACCTGAAGAGTAATGGAAATTAATCTTTAAGACATATTTCCCTGTATACTCTCTGCTTTACAGATTTTTCTCAATCATATGATGCTTAACAAGGATGCTATCATCTGAAAAGGGCATTTTTAGATGATTCCATTCTTTCATGAAATCATCACAAAGACAGCTATGTGATTTTATAAGATCTCTTTGGATATGTAGTTTGTCACTGACCAAAACATTGTTATACACCTATTCACTGCATCAAAGCAATCCTATAAAAGTACATATACCATGCATTTCCATTCATGGGGGTCCTTAGAGTAGTCAAAGTTGCAGAGATGGAAAGCCAAATTATGGTTGCCAGAGGCTTCCAATGTAGGGAACAGGGACTGGTTTAATGGGTTCAGGTTTCCTTTCGGAACATGAAAAACTTCTACATTTGGGTGATTAAGATAGAGCAAAACAGTTTGAATATATCTAGCACCACCAAACTGTACAATTTCATAGGGTTAAAATGGTATTTTGTTACATCTATTTAGAATAACAAAAATAATTTTTAATTCCATGACTCGGGTATCTAATTTGTGACTGATGAGGTGTCTGAGGACACCACCAACAAATGGTATAGAGTCGAGATTTAAACTGGTGTCAAGATTCGAAGCCTTTAGCATTTCCCCTTGTCGCTCCTTCCGAGAGCTCCTCTACCCATACAGAAAGGAAGGTTTGTTCCCTGAACCTAGTGAAAAAGAATCCACCCCTTGACCCAGATACCTCCACTTCTCCAGGGGAAGATCTGCTTATTTCTTATTTCTCCACAGCTGCTAAGACCACTACGCCGGGACCCACCAGTGTGACCTCTGAAACTACCACATCTGGTCTCCAGTTCACAAGAGAAAAAGGGAACTCAGAGCCTCAGCCCCTGAGTCTTGGAGCAATAGTGGGGGTGACAGTGGCTGCCGCTGTGGCACTCATAACCATGACTGTGGGACTGGTGGTCTTCTTTGGGTGGCAGAGAAAGAAAGGTAAGTGTTCCAGGACCAGATTGCTCCCAAGCTTCCCAGAACCTCCCTGCATCAAAATCATTGAAAATGCTTCTTTAAAATGCAGATCCCTGTCAGACTCTGCTCGAACCCACTGAGTCAAGCTCTGGGCGTGTGCTGGGGAATTCCCAACTGTAACAAGTGTCTCAAGTCAGGCTGTGGGATCGAGCTCCAGAACCACCAACTCCTCCCTGCCCACGCAATCTGATCATTTGCCAATACAGTAGTTCCCCTTTGATTTAGTCATTTCTTACAAATCCTCATATTTTGGTTCTTAGAGGAGGGACAGTCACCTCTGGGGAAAGTAAGGAGACAGACAGCAGAAGGAACAGGAATTTGGCTCAGCTCAGGAAGGACTAGACCAGTGTTCATATTCCAGAACCTGGCTTGGAAAGGAAGAATAAAATACAGATAAAGCATACAGCCTGCTTTTTAAAGAACCCAGTGGCAGGGTATTGCATGTAGGGGTGGAGACTATGTCTCAAGGGCTAATTGTTCTTTAGGAAAAGGCTAAAAGAGGTCAGAGGAAGGAGAGCAGGGACTCTCCAAAGGAAGTAAAATATGTAAAAAAAAAAAAATCCCCAAAGAATAAAAAGAATCAGACAAAAGCTAAGGGTAGTGGAAAGGACCATCATTGGTCATCCAAGCAAAGACTCCATTTTAAGAACTGTTACTAATTGAGCCAGGGCAATACCAACTAGCGCTCAGAAGAGTGCTGTAAGACCAGGCAGGAGAGTATGGAAGGGCTGACGGCACAAAAGTCAAATAGGTAGGTGGTGATGAGCAAGGTGGTGGGGAGAAGCAAAGGGAAAACAGGAGGGATAAAGAAGCAAAAGACAGGAAGAGACTGTCTTAGAATTTGCTGTCAAAGATGCCAGGACAGGTGTGAGCTGGTGAGACCCAGGCCCTTGGTGACTGATGTGGACAGCCCTTCTCTGCCTGCCTGGTCCACGTCAGGACTTCCAGAGCACAGGGTACAGGCGAAAGGGTGAGACAGAGTCTGTCTATGGATGTCACACTGATGCACTGTTGGTCTCCCTACAGGTCAGCAAACTAAAGCCCAAAGCCCTGCCAGGTGAGCGCTTCTCCTCCAAAGGGCTGGGGTGAGGAGTGGCAAGTTTCCTCCCGAGCACCAAATGAGCTCTTTCACAGCTGCTCTCCCACCGCTGATGGGACATTCTGTCCACCCTTGTCCTCTAATAGGCCAGGCGCTTGGCCTCTGCAGGCTCCCTCCCTTGATGATGAGAACCACGACCAGTCTGTCACATGGCTCCCTCTTTCTCCTGCATGTCTTTCCTTCTCTCCTCCCAGTTCTTACACTGCTTCTGTTTATCTGTCTCCTGGAAGCCTTGCACACAACTGGACACAACCAGCTCGCCTAGGTCTTGTCCTCTGCTTTCTTCTCTGTCCAATCTGATGTTTCTTCCAGTAAATATGCTACGGACTCCAGGAGTCCTCTGCCTGCAGCTCCGCCACCTTTCTTGTCCTTCCCTTCTCATTCTCCCTTCCTCTTCCCCTGCCGTGGTGCCATTACCATACTTGTCCTGCCCCAAACCAGCCTCCATCCTTCCTCCCCATGCCCCGTGTTTTACTACCTGCCCTTCCTCTGGGCCCTTCTCCTTCCAGGAAACCACCATATTTGCCCAGAGGACTTGAAACTCACCAAATTGGTTTTATTGGCCTCCTTGGCCTAGTTGTAGTCAAGGCAGTGCCAGCACAGGGAACAGGGTTGACCCTTCCTGTTTCTCTAACCGCAGCAGCTTCCCTAGAACAGCCCTAACTTTCAGTGCTGAGGGACTTCAAGAAGCTAAGAAGCTGCCCAAGCCTGCAAGCTCCTTTTCCAAACAGCCTCGTGCTGAGGATCTAACAATGTCACCTTCATCCTGAGGATTTCAGGGCAGGCAGCAGAGCCCCCACTCAGAGAATCAGTCCCTGATAGGTCTTAACTGTATACTGCCTGGCAGCTAATACATCTCTCTCCTCTGGCCCAATGCAGGGAACTTGTCAAAAACAATGAGACCTATGAGAATGCTGGGTATTCAGGTGAGTCCCACCACCACTCCCACTCTATCTTTGTCTGTCTTTCTTCCCCAGACACACATATACACCTCGTCTACTGCACTTCCCAGTACTTTCCTTTTTCCCATTCTGCACCTCATCCCTCCCACAAGACCCTGGCCTGACCTAGCAGGTAACCTCACTCCTGGAGCAGCCTGTCTGTCCACCGTGCCTGTTGCACTACCTGATCTCTGTATTCCTTGTTTTCCCCCCAGAAAAACCTAAAGATGCCCAGATGAACCCCAAGGTAAGTAGCTCAGACCTAAAGGAAAGTCAGTGAAGTCTGGCAAAGGTGGAGTAGAAGGAGTGGAGGGCCCTGGGCTTGGCCAGGCACTTGGGCAGTAGGCTGGAGCCTTACGGTGGGGACAGTTGTCTTTGTGTCTAACCACCTTCTCTTTTGCTTCTTACCCAGAATGACATCGTCTATGCCTCCCTCAACCTCTCCAACTTGACCTCGCCAAAAGCACCTGCCTGCCCAGCTTCCCACAAGAAGCACCAAGAAGAGACACTGTACAGTGTCCTAAAGACCTAATGAGTGGGCCCGAATGGCAACAATGGGAATGATCACAGCTTCCAAACATAGCTAAGCCAGCTCAGAAGTCAGCAGGTTTGAAGGCCAGAAAGGAATTGAAAAGACCATCTACACTAGTTACCAGCTTCCGTGCCCTTGCCCAGAAATAGAAAATGATCCACAAAATTTGTCTGATTGCATCTAAAGAGGAAACCAAGGTCAACTTCAACTTCTGCTTCTCCACCACATAAATTTTAATAGACAGCTTATATCTAAGGCCCCTGCCGTATTTTTTTTCAGTGACTGCCTCAATACAGGGAGCACAAATCCCCAAATACTGGTAGCAGCTATTATGGTCTAGATCTAAAATGAACTCCCATTTTCTCATGTGTGGAAAAGGATCACAAGGGTGCTGTACTCAGTGGATTCAGCCATGGATGAGGAGCTAAATGCGCTGTTAAAAAATGGGGCCTGATTGGAGGTGGTCATGGGGAGCATGAACTGAAAACATGTATTCCTGTCCCTAGCAGGACCCTCCTTCTCTGCTTCCTGGCTCCCATGCACTGGTACCTTTTCTCCCACCATGTCTTTCCACCATCCTACTTTTGCCTTAGACCTTGCTGACTGCAGACTGGAACCATAAGCCAAAATAAACTTTTCCTCCCTTAAAGTGTGGGTGTCAGTCACTGTTTAAGCAACAGGAAAGTGATTAAGACATCAGCCTAGAATCAGTGTCTGCTCCTAAGTCTGACCCCCTCACCAAGATAACTACCATGCACTGCAACTGCGTCATACACACCCCTCACTAAATCACCCCTAGCGCCCCAAACCTTGCTGGGCCTTGCTGGGACACAAGCATAAAGGCAGATGATGAAAGTGCTTTCCTGAGGGTAGGTAGCAGCTAATAAATAGCCGAGCCAGGATTTGAACCAGATGTGTCCTGCTGGAGGTTCGTCCAGGACTCAGGTCTCCCTGTTTTATCTGGGTTCCCATGCTGTGCGGGCCTCCCCCAAAATGAGGATGTGCCACGGTGACACAGGGTGAGGGAAAAATCCAAAGTGATGCAGGTGGTCACACATCAAGCAAACCAGCCACAAATATAACCCACTTTATTAACATAAAGTGCAAAGCTCTTGAACCTTGTCAGCAATTAGTAACCCAAACATTTAGGAACGTGTCAGAAACTGAACTGAAAGGCTTTCCCTGTTACTTCAGAGAGAACAAGAAGCGGGCAGGAGAGCACCATTACTTATCAAAGGAGGCCACAGTGAATCCCTGGCACCATGTCAGTCTCACAACTCCCCTCTTTCTTCAGACTTTCTTCCAATATCTTCCATGATTTGCTCCAGGTCCAGGTCACTAGAGGCTTCATCTTCAAGACAGACACTTCCAGGCTCCTGAATCACTGGCTCCTGGGGGCTTTCTGTCCCCAGCAAAGGAAAGGCTCTGGGATGAGTTGGTGGGGTAAGACCCTTTGGCACCATTCCAACTTCCTTTTCCTCAGACAGGATGGTTGCTGAAGTCTTGATTTGGGGAACTTGAAATCTCTTCTTAGGTTCTAAATGAAAAAGGAACAAAGTTGAGAGTCCCACTTGTCACTTTATCCTGACTTTTACAGGTCAAATTCTTAAGTCCCTATGCTGGTAAAATCTCTGGAAAAGGTGACCTTTCTTAGTACACAAATATGCGTACTAAGATCAGAAAGACTTAGACTCAAGCCATAAATTAGCCACATGCTCAATATGGGTCTTAAACAATTTTAAACTCTCTGAGCATCAGTTTTCTTGTATTTAAGATGGCAGCCATAGTGGCGGCTCACGCCTGTAATCCCAGCACTTGGGAGGCTGAGGCAGGAGGATCGTTGCGAGTTCAAGACCAGCCTGGGCTACAAAGTGAGCTCAAGGCCAGCCTGAACTACATAGCGAGACCCTGTCTCAAAAAGACAAAAAAAAAAAAAAAAAAAAAAAAAAAGATGGCAGCCATCTAGTCATAGAGCTACTGAAAGAATAGAAGGAGCAAGCATGGAAGTATGTGTCAGCCATGGCAAAACCCAACGAACATGTTCTTTTCAATACCATTTCCTATTCCTGGATCCAATCAAATCAGTGATCATTATGTTTTTCCTTTTTTTTTTTTTTTTTATCGGTACCAGGGATCGAACTCAGAACTGCCTGCTTGCAAGGCAGGCGTTTATGCCGCTGAGCTAAATCCCCAGCCCCCATTTCTTTTTTCTTTTCTTTTCTTTTTTGAGGCAGGGTCTTGCTATGTAGCCCAGGCTGATCTCAAACTCAGTGGTCCTCTTGCCTCAGCCTCTTACCTGCTAGGATTACAGGCATGTGCTACCACACCCAGCTTCATTACGTTTCGTAGTGTGTTCTGGGCACAATCCAAGACATACCCTTTCATTCTTTTTTTTTTTTTTTTTTTTTTTTGTCTTTTTCGCTTTTTTTATCAGTACCGGGGATCAAACTCATGACTGCCTGCTTGCAAGGCAGGCGCTTATGCCGCTGAGCTAAATCCCCAGCCCCTACCCTTTCATTCTTAATTTCATGCTTTCTTCAAAGTAATGAAAAACTGCAGGAATAGTCACAAACAATCCAGAGAGGAGACAACAGACATAGACTTCATTTCCTCACAATTTTTTAGATGTTGAACCTTACCTGGTTGGTCCAGATCTGCAGTCCTCTGCCCTGCTTTTCTTTCGATGATAGGTACAGGGGGCACTGAGGTTTCATTGTACAGACATCTCTTGGTTACCTTCTTTTTCAGGATCTTGTCTTGTCCATCTGCCATGCCTGCATCACCCCCATGCCCCAAACATGAAGATGTATTTCTCTAAACAACAGCATGGCAAAGGCAGATGGTCCCCCCACATTTAGTTTCTGCCCTGTTCAACATCTGCTCATTCTATCCCGTGAGTTCCCTCAGTGATTCCAAGTTCCCCAACCATCTTTTTTTTTTTTTTCTTCTCCCTGGATCTTCTTTCTCTTTAAGGTTCCCTTCAGAGCCTGCCTGCTCCAGGAAGTTATCCTTCCTGGCTAAGAATTTAAAACCTTACAACTTAAGGTTTTATCACCTTACCCTAAGATTTTATGAAACACAAAATGCAGAGGCCTGCCAGGCACAGTGGCACATGTCTGTAATCTCATAATTACAGATATTCTAGGAGGCTGAGGCAGGAAGATCAAAGGTTCAAGCCCAGCCTGGGCCAACTTTAGCAATCTAGAGATTCTATCTCAAATTTTTAAAAAATACAAAAAAACAAGAAAATGGCTGGAGATGTACCTTAGTACAAAGGTCTTTGGTTTAATCTCTATTACAGCAATAATTAATTAAAATCAGGCTATGCCTGCCTTCCTAACACTATCCACTAGTCTTGTCTGTTTTTTCAGGTCTGGAGCTGAAACAATCAGTGAGGTTCCACTACTCCTAGATCCCCTTTTTAGCCTGGGCCTGCCTTTGCTGTGTGAAATGCCCCTTTTCCAGGTGGCTTGCTCACCTTTTGGTTTTGGGTTTTTGGTCTTTATCTTGGCTGACTTGGGACCAGGAAAAGTTGGGTCCTGTGGACAGTAAAGAAATTTTTTAAAAAGATAAACTGAGTCACATAACTATTTTTAATAGAGAAGGATACTATAAAATAATGGGTAGGCTGATTCCTGAAAAGGGTTGTCTGAATTTGACATTGTCTAAATGTGTGGCAACACAAAGAAAATGTTTGCTGACCTTCTCATTGCATTCAGTATTAGTCAATGCAAGGTTTTATGCATAAAAGAAAAGTAGGCCAGGGATTTAGCTCAGTGGCATAAAGCACCTGCGTGGCAAGTGCAAGGTCATGAGTTCGATCCCCAGTACCAAAAAAAAAGAAAAAGAAAAGTAGGCCACAAACATGACAAAAATAGGTAAATTTAAAATTAAAAGGGAAAGTCAAAAATCTGTATTTCATATTCCTCCAACAGATGTGAAGAAAATATGTGACTGAATGTCCTAAGTGTCCACGTGGGCGGGAGAACATGTAGACAGAAGCAATCTGCTGTTCTCTTAAAATTGCCCCAGGTAAAACTAAAGAAATACAGTAAAATTGAGCTTATAATCAGGAATTTCTGAGAAAGATGAGAAATCCACAGAATGGGGAAGAAGAGAGCCTGAGATATAAGACCAGTTGGCTAGGGGACCCCAGGCCAGGACGGGATGGCACAAAATAAATGTAAACCCATGCAAACCAGATCCTACGGAACCTCCCAAAGGAACTCCGAGATCTTGTTCTAAACTAACACTTCATGCTAATCTTACTTTTTTCTCTTTGTCCTCCATGTCTAACTCCTTTTCCTTCTCCATGATGGACTCAGGGCTATTAGCCCTGAGTCCAGATACCATTAAACCTAGAACAGAGGGAAAAAAGGCTGATTTATTCCCCAAAATAGTTGATGTGTTAATGGAACAAATTCCAGAGAATCCTTCTTCTAACTCCACCTTCTGTGTCCAAATAATACTTTTCCAAAACATGTAACTTGATTATCATGATTTTCAAAATGCATCACTATTTACACACACCCTACCCCTCTTCTCCCCCTTTTCTCCCATTTCCATCTCCACCACCTGTCCATATATCCTGAATAGTGGATCAATGACACTCATAAAAACCTCTTATTACAGAATCCAGAGTAGGCTGAAGACACAGAATATAAAATAAAGAAAACCTGAACTATTACTTTCACGGAAGAATCCCTCCCTTCCCCCTCCAGTCCTCATCCTCCACTTCTACCTCTTTTTTCTTCACTCCTGTCAGGTCCACAGTATCGATTCCAGAAGCCAAACAAGTTAACCCGCTCCTGAGGGAATCGAGAAATAAAAGCATTATCCACTACTGTCCAGGAACTGCAATTGCCCCGTCCTCTAGATTTGTCATAAGAAAATTTATGTTCATTTTCTATACAATTTCATTTGAAATATCCTACTAACCTTATCTATACTTTTGCAAATTAGTTACAATCTTTTTCCAGTTAAATCATAATTCAACAAAACACTGGAGAAAAAAATCTGCAAGTTTCTCATTCTCCTTCCCAGCCTCACATCTTATTGGTAGAAACTGAGGGTAAAAACTGACCAAATAAAAGAGAAAGTAGGGTGTATATCATTGAGACCTGAAGCTAAACAGGAAGGTAAGATGTCACAGTGTTTGGGCCAAGAGGAGACCCCTCTTGTTTAAGGGCAAGAAAGGAATGGGCAACTTAAGGAGTCAAGGGAATCTGGGAGAATCCGGAAGAAAAGAGCAGTTCTGCAGTAGACTGCACAGCAGGGCACGGTGACGTACACCTGCAATTCCACTGCTCGGGAGGCTGAGTAGAAGGATCACTGAGTTCAAGGCCAGCCTGGCTACAAAGTGAGCTTACGGCCAGCCTGAACTGTATAGTGCAAACCACCTCAGACAAAAAAGTTCAATAAAATAAAATTAAAAAATAAAAACAAAAGCAAAAACTAGACCCCACAGTCAAGAAGTACAATCAGTTTTTTAAAATGAAGAGTATACAGTGAAATGAAAAGTATACGGTGTGTGTTTTGTGTCCAAGTTCTGAAGAGGAACAAATATGGGGTCTGAACACTCTGCCACCTGAATGCCAGTCTGCTTTGCTTTATGAGCCATCACTATGGCTACTTCCAGTTGCTGCGTGTAGTCCTTGTTCCTGCACTTTTTCTGAAACGGAGCAAGGTCAGAGTCAATGATAAATACTGCTTTAAAGATTAGTCAATAATAAACAGTATACTGCCACCTATTGGACAACATCTTAATTACATGTGTTTCAACTAGAATAGAGAGGATACACTTAATCTTTTGGACTCTGACACAGCACTCCCCTTCTACTTAATAAACCATTCCTAGCAAATGTTTCAACCAACATTTTGGTCTTCTCTCCAAAATAAATCCAGTGAGAATTTTAGAAAAAATAAAGAGACTGAAGGAGGTCAAGTGAGTTCACATTTTCAAGTTTCTTTACACCCAGCTGCTTGATATAATCTTTACTGCTTAATTTTCTAAGGCTCCTGAGCTGCTGGGCCTCTTTGCTCATTTGAAAGCTAGTCAAAACCAAAGCAACTACAGAGAGGAAATACTATTTAGTCCATTTTGTCTCCCAGAAGCCATCTGGGAATGGCCTGGAGACAGTTTTTGGTTGTCACAACTAGGAGCAGGGTAAGGAGGATAAGGGTAGGGGATGTCACTGACAAAATATAAACAGAATCTGGGCATGGTGGTGCATGCCTCTAATCCCAGCAGCAGTGGGAGGTTGAGGCCCGAGGATCATTGCAAATTTGAGATCAGCCTGGGCTACAAAGTGAGCTCAAGGGCTCAGGATTTAGCTCAATGGCATAAGCACCTGCCCATAAATTCAATCCCTGCTACCAGAAAAAAAAACTGAGCTTGAAATCAGCCCAAACTGAATAGCAAGACCCTGTCACACACACACACAAAAAAAAAAATCAGAGTCCAGGGAAGCTGTTAAAAATCCTATAATGAAAGTGGGCATCGTGGCACAACCCTGTAATCCCAATAGTCATGAAGCTGAGGCAGGAGGATCATTGCAAGGTTAGGCCAGCCTGTGTTACACAGTGAGTTGAAGGTCAGCCTGAATTACAGAGCAAGACCCTGCCTCAAAAAAATATCATAATGCACGGACATTATTCCACAACAAAAGATTATTTTGCCCACAATGCTTATAGTGCTGAGACTGATAAATTCTAACTTAATCTGGGCCCTTTGTCTCCTACTTTTGGTTTGGCTCAGTTTAGAAAACTTCCATCTTTAAAAGCCCCTCCTTAAAGTTTTGTAAATAAGGAGGGGAAGAAGGTTGAAGGGAGGGAAGGGGATTGGGGAAAAAAGAGAAATAAAGATATATTATGTACAAATTCCACATGATGAATGTGAATGTCACCATAAGCCTCATGAATAACTCAGCACACCTGGTCAGACATAGTACTTTCTCCCAACAATCCCCCCTGAGAGCAGGCTGGGTTTAATAAAGGAGGTATTTCATTTTCCAGGTCTCTGTATCATAGCAGACTCCCAGGGTTTGCTCACCACTCCTGTTTGCTCCAGAGATAGCTCTTGGAAATTCTTTAGCATGTTCGCTGGAATCCAAGCACGAGAAACCGTTTCTCCAAAAAAAGTCACATGGTACTTAGTCTGCAATAAAAGACATGATCATGTATGGCTCCTGTCCTTCTCCCTGCTTTTCTCCTCTTATCAGAAAAGGTGGAGGAAGATGGGATGAATCATAAAGAAAAGTGACTGGCCTCCTACACTCCCTGAAGCCTGACATACCTACCTCATCATTCTACTGTACTTCCATTTCGACCTCAGGAATTCTGGCCAATTATCAAAATCCTAGCACAATTATCAAAACCATAAATGTCCTACTAATGGATATTTAATTAGATTAAAGTTCAGTTCTGTGAGTACTTACCACCATGTCTGTCACTCTAGCTAAGTGTATTTCCATTTTTGTCTGCTGGCTAGGTCTATGTTTCTAACTCTAAACATCTCTTAGGATGAATGTATTCGTTACTCTGTCCTGAAGCAGGAAACTCACCGGAAGAGAATCAAGATGAGAAGCAAAAAGAAAATATTCCCCCAAGTCAGGATCAGATTCTACCATGCCTGGCCACCTAGAGGATAGATGGGCACAGGAGACGGAAGAGAAGGGGTTAGATGAGCAGAACACTACCTCATCAATACACACACAGAAAAGGGCAATGTGAATAAAAGATTCGAAACATATACGTCACCCAGGTTAGTCCCTTCCAGAGGCCACTACCAAATGATCAAAGTGACTTCCATCAACCTTATTGTCTTTCCTTTGCAACCTCCCACATCTCAATTTTGTAACACATTAGGCCACCTCTTCCTTTCCTACTCAATTATGTACCATGTCAGGTCCTCTTTTCCAGAGATACCACTCCATCCTAAAAGCTCCAGCAAACATACCTTATAAAAGCCTCAACGCTGAGTATTTTTTCTCCCTTGTCCCATGTTTTTGTTTTTTTAAGGCAGGGTCTTGCTATACAGTCCAGGCTGACTGTGAACTGACTTTGTAGCCCAGGCTGGCCTCAAACTCACCTCGATCCTCCTTGCCTCAGCCTCCTGAGTGCTGGGATTACAGGCACATGCCACCAAGCCTGCCCCCCTGCCATGTTCTTTCTAAGGCAAGTACCATCATGTGTCTTTTATTGCAGACTAAGTACCATGTTATTCATTTCCTTCCCTCCCTGCTTGAATCCATAATTCCCAAGTTCAGAAAGAACGCTACGACTAAGTCATGGTTCCCTACCAGGGGTAACCATATTGCTTGGCCCAGATGAGGGATCCTGGAACATAGGAGGCATAGACCACTTCACTCTCATTCCCTGTCCAGGCCACCTCAGGAATGTCACAGCAATTATATTCCAAGTCTGCCAAGAGAGAAAGAATAAAGGAATATGAGGAGATCTATAAGGAAAAATCCAGATGCAGGCTGGAAGAGGACAAGAAAGAATGTTAACAGGTGGCACCAAAGGGCAACTGGGGAAGAAGCCACCCATGGAGGAAATGCAGACTTCATAATACTTTGCTACCTCGTAATACTTTGAAGAGATTCTAACCTCTGGCTTACACCCCACAGTGTGATTCTGCTCCCAACTATGGAACAGAATGGAGGTAATTTCTCTGAGACTGTTTACTCATCTGTAAAATAAATAAGGTGGGCAAGATCATCGTAATGTCTTCTAAGCAGTTTTAAACATTTTATAATTTTAAGCTCACTGGATGTTTTTCTCCTGCTTTTCTTCCTCTATCTCATATCCCTTCCTGACCACCAAGCCAAAACTAATATTTTAATCATGAATTACAGGATCAGACCAGTTTTGAAGAAAATGAAATTCACTTAGTAATGTACTCAGATTCCAGGCCCCTCCACATAACATAACTCTGCAGAGTGTCTTCTTCCACCTTTATGCCCAGATTCATCTCAACAGGAAGGGAAGATTGTGTCTTTCTCCCACTCATCCCAAAGACCTCTTGAGTACTTACTACACTTAAATGCTATTTACCTAAAGAACGCATGCAGGAGAAAAAAAAGAGGGAACAATAAAAACTGAAAAAACAAAACAAAACAACACACTGCAACTCCTTTTTACCTGTATTCTGGTTACAGGACCAATTATCTGGGAGAACTGAGGGGTCAATGTTCCCACACAGCTGCCTCCATTTCCTACAGTTTGGAGAGGAGCACTGAACCCAGACTATACAATGACCTATGGCAGGAAAAAAACTGAAATGAGAGACTTTAAAACACACTCTGCTTTCCTCAGTGTCGTCACTTGAATCATAACTTTCTCACCTATCCTCAGAATGCCATCTCCATATAGACTTTGTCAATCTCTAAATCTCTAAATTAAAAATAACAGCAGCAAGGCTCAAAGAAGATAATGGCTTGCTCAGGAGCCATCTAACTTGATGACAGAGTTGACCTTAGAACTTCAATCACATTGTGACCTTTTGAGGCAGAAAGGATTATTTCCTATATTAACTGCTATTCAACTCAGAAGTTGTCAAGGATCTAGCTCAGTGGTAGAGCACATGCCACACGCAGTCCTGAGCACCACCCACAGGGTGAAAAAAAATCCTGATGTCTTTGCAGATAGTGCCTTATTCATTCCCTTGATGCCCTGATACTACTGAAAAGTTCTTCTGAAGGGCTACTGAGAATCTCATTCGTGTATTCACAGTTCTAATCTGAATCTCAACTATTTACCTGTTATACAAGTTGTAACCTTTAGGTTAGGTTAACAGCCCTGGATTCATCTTCCTTTTTAAAAAAAAAAAAAAAAAAACCCAGGTTTAAGTCTAGCATTACTCCACTAACTATTTACTTCGAACCCCACTCAAAGGAAAACTCTTCTTTTATCCATTACCTTCCAAACCTCTACCCCACCGTATTCTCATGTCTTCTAAACTGACCCTATGCCCCACAGCCTTTTCCCTCTGCTTCCCAAACTCTCCCATGCATCCTGTGAAGATCCAGACTTAAGCAACTAACATCCACATATCCTCAACCTCTTCTCTGAAACTCTACCTCCTTTTAGAAATCTTAAGACCCACAAATGACACTGTCCCACCCAACCCCACCCAAGACCCCTAAATAGAGTCTGCTCCTTCTCGCACCTCCACATCTCTCAGGTCAGAAGTGGAGCCACATCATCCTTACTCCTGTCATCACCACTCCTCTCCTCTTATAAAAACCCTTTCCTTTGAGGTCCATGCTATGGACTCTACTGCCTTGTACTACCCTCATACAGGTGCTGGCATCCACCTCAGTTTCCTCCTCCTTCAACCTTGAGTCTAGATGAGCACCACAGCCACAAAAATAACTCACAATGCACCTATTCTCTCAGTTTCATGAACTTATCTTCCCTGTCACTTCAGCAACCCACTCTCACATCCATGTGCCCCAACCAGTCTTCTGCAGGAATCCACACCCTCTGAGTCACTTATCCAAACATCCTCCCTGGCAAAAATGCCTTATCCTCCTACCTCATCTGTTCACAAGCTGCTCCACAACTTTCACTTCATCTTACTCTGCAATCTATTGGTCCCTTCAGTCCTTGCTCCTTGATAGCAACCTCTGCTCTTCACTCTGGCCAGTTAGCCTTGAATCCATGACTCCTCCAGACACCTCCAATTCCTTTCTCTTCTGTCCTTCTGAGATGAAAGAGGTAAAACTCCACCCTGAATGAACCCAATTCTACCTTTTTGTTTACCCTGCTGCAGATAAGCACAAATAAGAGAAAAATCATTTAACCAAGTACATATGCATCACTCCAGACTCACAATTTTCACCAACCAATATATTCCTCCAGTTAATTTGTTTCCTATTGTCCAATTTTACCTTAAGTGCCTGAATACAAGGGATGACCCCCCACACCAAAATCACCCCTCAGAAAACAAGCAACTTATATTTATAAGTTCTTTCAAAATATCATATATTACGGGTTACTTTCTCAATTACTTTAAGAACAAAGTACTAGTTGGGAATGATATATTAATCAGAAATGAACATTGCTAATAATAGTTTTGGACACTGATAGAGGTGATCCAGCAAGACTGAAAAAATTAGGTGAAGGAGCTGGGGACCACAAAAGTTAATATAGATCAATAAAATAAATGGTTCACTATGAAAGCATACTCCACAAGTATGTTCTTCTTCTACTCTTTTCCACTTTCTTTCAGGTAACTCCTTAAACTAGAAGCTAATCATCTTCAACAAATCCTCTTACTTCTTCCATCCCCCAATATCCAATTCATTACCAAGTTCTGACAATTTTATCTCTAAAACTATCCACTTTTCTATTTTAATCGTCATAAACCAAGCCACCAAAACCACTAATCCTAGCACTAATTTAGGATCCTAGAACAGATTTTTCAGCTCTTCCCTAAATACTCCATTCACCAATTAACCCCCAAAGAATCATCTGAAGACATGAATGTGACGATCTTGTTTCCTGATTAAAATTCACCAATGACTTCCCACTGGTGCTCACTCTGGAGCAGTTACTTAGATCAAGCCACTGCCAACCTCTTTCCTTTTTCCCAGAGCTATCTTTCCATCCCCCGCCCTTGCTCTCTCAACGCTGATCACACAGGCTTTTACCTTAAGTGCTTGAACACAAGGGATGACCCCCCCCCCACCAAAATCATCCCTCAGAAGACAGGCAACTTATATTTAGCACTAAGAATATGCCAAACTTTATTCCACATAAAACCCTCTCTTAGCCAGGTATGGAGGTGAACACCTGTAATATTAGCACTCAGGAGGCTGAGGCAGGAGTATCATCTCAAATTTGAGGCTACATAGTGAATTCAAGGCTGTCCTGAACTACATAGCAAGACTCTGTCTCAAAAACAAACACGCAAACAAACAAACAAACAAAAAAACCCCTCTTCTACTTCTCACTTGGATAACTTCTACTCTTCTTCAGATTTCAGGTAAAATAAAATTTTCTTAGAAATGCATTCCATGACTGGTCCAATTTTACTTAGGTCTCCTTTATTTCCTCTTATGACACTGCTCCTTTCCTGCACAGCGCTTAATGCAAACTGTCTTCACTGTTTCTACTTCCTACTTCAAGAGACTCTCCTGGCCTTGGCAACTGAGAAACAGAAAGAATGGCTCACAGATAGCAAGAGACTGACAAGTTCACCGCAGTCATAATTCAACTCACATGCGCCACCTAGGGAATGAACTCCCACCTGCTAGTCCAAAGTCTCGTTCTTGGGGGAAAGGTACATACCAAGTGATCGGGCGATATAAACCTAATGACAATGACACAAGTTTATCTGAACTAATTAGAAAAGTCCTAAGTATTCCAATAGTTCTCAACAGGAATATCTGAGTTTACATATTCACATAAAGTCAAAAGTAAAAACTATGTCTTGTCATCAAATTTCCCAATGTCATCTTATTTTGTACAACACATTGTTTATAAACTAAACTGTAAATTCTACAAAGGGCTATCAAATTTGCTCACTACCGTATTTATATCAACTAGTGAAATACCTAGTGCATAATATAAGGAACTAATAACCATTGTTAGAATAACGAGCTGGTGACATAGTTCAGTGGTAGAACCCTAGATTCAAAACCGAGCACCAAAGGAAAAAACACCAAAGAATAAATGCATCCATATACAGCATATTCTTACACACCCTAAACTCAGTCTTAATAGCTAAAGTGTCCCTTTTTCCTGAGGAAACTAGAACCTATAAATCTCTTCCCTTTCATATCTCTTCAATCTTTCCCTCTCTATAAATATGTTTCCCTTGGCACGTAAGTATATCCAAATTACTCTCTTTTTTACTCTTGTATTTTATTTATTTTATTTACAGTGTTGTGGATGAGATCTAGTACCCTGCACACATGGTAGGCAAGCACTTTACTCAGCTACACTCATAGCCCTTTTAAAAGAAATTCATAAAAAAACAACTCTCCCACAAATCTCCACTCATTCCCTTTTATGCACCATTTTCTTCCTCTTTCTTTTCACATCTAGACTAACTGAAAAAGTATTTACCATTCAACCAAAATTATAACCTGAAATTCATCCTTACCAATCCATGCAGTTGCTATAACCTAGACCCCAGTACTTCCCATCTGTGATATCTTTTGAGCTTTTCAAATCATTATCCTCTTTGACTTATCCAGGGTAACATTGAGATCGCTGACCACTCCAGCTTTCTTCAAATTCTCTCTTCGCCTGGTATCTGTGATAGCACACTCTTCTAATTTCTCCACTACCTTTCAAGCCTCATTTTAGCTTTCTTCCTGGGCACCATGCAGAATGTCTAGTACATAACAGATATCTAGTAACTATGGATTCTGTGAATAAATGACTGAATAGATAAAAAATTTCTCCCTCTCCCTCAGCAATATATCCTCTAACAAGAACGTGTGCGAGGGGGCTGGGGATTTAGCTCAACAGCATAAGCACCTGCCTTGCAAGTGTGCGGTCAGGAGTTCGATCCCTGGTACTAATTTAAAAAAAAAAAAAGAATGTGTGAGAGATAAATTATAGACTTTGTAGAGCTTTCTCTAACATTTTAACCCCAACTTTTGTCTTAATCTCAACTTTTCAACCCAACTAGGTTTTCCAAACCATGGCTAAACTCACCAAAACCATTTCCTTTTCTTTTTTGCTGATTTCTGGACTGAGAATGATTCTGAATCCTGTATCCCAGTCGGTCTCTCTGTCTGTGCTTGCGTCTACCTTGAGGTGTCTCCATTTTTTCATCTTCTGAGATGAAAAACATGGAAATATAAAACATGGAATAATATAAAACATGGAAAGTGGAAAGATAAATAATTTCTCTACAGGCAGGTAAAACAAGAATGATAACCAAAGTGTTGTAAGCCCTGAGTGGAACTTTCTCGGCCTGCCCATTACCTCATTCCCTTTCTGCAGTAAGTACTTGAGCCAGGGCTCACTATGTATTTGACTATACTTACGAGCCTCCTTCTTTCTTTTGCTTAAGTCAAGCCTGTTAAGTTTCTTCTCAGAGACTTTAGGAATTGCTTGGCCTGGCTCAGATGCCCTTATCTCAGGGGTAACTTCACCTTCCAGAGAAGCTGAAATCTCTGATGTATGAGGTACCATTATCTTCTCCCTAAAAATGATACATTTTAAAGGAAAAGTTAAAAGGGAGAAACATCAGTACCAATCTTTTGAAAGAACCTGAAGGTAAAAGACAGAAGAATTCTAGTTTTGGGGCTGGGAATGTAGCTCAGTACATGCTTAGCAAGCACTAGGTCCAAGTTCAATCCCTACCACCAAAAAGAAGGAATTCTAGGGTTGTTAAGGCCTCCTAAAGTCCTTTTACCCATTTACTTGACTATTTTTCCCCCAGCCCAAACAGTTCTCTTTCCTAGCTGAGAGAAATCAATAGAAATATGACAAATAGATCACCATTTACAAATAAGTCCACCCTGTGTTCTACGCACCGGTCTGGAATCAACTTACCCACTGGCATTATCATTATCAGTATCGGAAGCAACAATTTCTGGTTCTTTGTCCGACTGGATACACACTGTTGTCTTTACACAAGATGACTCTGTAAAATTAAGGCCAGATCCCATCCCTCCCAAAACAAAACACTATAAGCAAAGAAGCATAAGAAGAAAACAACTACAGCACTCCAGTATTTTCTGCTAAAACAGTTCATTAAAATATCTCTTCCATGTTGCCCAAAAGAACCTACCTCTGGCCTCTTACTGTATGATAGAACATTAGTCTTTAAAGTTTCAGGAAAAATTACAAATCTGTATCTTCCTACAAGCCTTTCCTGATTTATCTTCCTCATTCCAACTAGATAGTAATTTTATTTTACACATGCAAAAACTATGCTCTGCGTTGTATACAATTTTTCTTCAAAATTCTAGGAATGAAAGTACAGTAAGAATGTCTGAGACATCAGACCATTCTAGTTGGCCTTGTCACCTTATGGAAGTCTCATGGCCAATACTATACAGCTTTTTATTTTAAAGAATAAAATCCTTGAGTAGATATAAATCAGTTTTACACACATAAATATATAAAAGCAGATTGGAAGGAGGGCATGGTGGTGCACTCCTGTAACCCCAGCACTCAGGAGGCTGAAGCAGAAGGATCATTTCAAGTTCAAGACCAGCCTGAACTACATAGTGAGACTCTGTCTCAAACACAAACACACACACACACACACACACACACACACACACACACACACACACGAACACACACACAAAAGAGTAAATGGAAACTAAGTTCTTCAAATCTGGAAAGTAACTTATCTTTTCTAAGAAGATTGGAAAAAATATAAAAAATAAATTAAAATTGCATTTAAAAGTTTAGGATGAGACTACTCTGAAGTCAAGGTAATCTGCTTTTCTAAAACTTCATATCCTTTATCTAAGGAGATTCAGCTACAGTCCTATTTTGGGGCATGAAATATTTCATCTAATATTTTCTTACTCTGGAAGACAGGAAAAAAGGACAGAAGCTGTCAAACTTACACTCCTCTCGAAGCCGGGCGTGGTGGCTCACGCCTGTATTCCCAGCACTCGAGAGGCTGAGGCAGGAGGATCGTTGGGAGTTCAAGACCAGCCTAGGCTACAAAGTGAGCTCAAGGCCAGCCTGAACTGCACAGCGAGACCCTGTCTCAAAAAGACAAAAAAAAAAGAAAAAAAAAAAACGTACACTCCCCTCTTGTAACGTCACTCTGCCTGAAATCTTTTTCTCTCACATAGGCCATACCATACCCAAGCACTCCTTGAGGGACTTGCGTAGCACAGTCTGGACAATCTCCTCAAATTCTGCATTGGTAAGAATTAATTTTTCCTGTAAAGACAAGGATAGAAAGGGAAACTGCTTATTTTTTTCACAATGATCTCCTCTGCTATGGCAGGAGATTCACAAGACTAAAAGCATGAAGTCAATATATCTAAGATCATATCCTCCCTCCCAGATCTGGGAACAAGGGAGTCAAAGCGGAGGAAGCCATTTATAAAGTCTCTGTCTACTTCTACTCCCACCTCTACCCACCCACCCCATTATTTCTGGCTAAATGCGTTTATCAAAAAATTTTATGTCTCTGAGAAGAAAAAGGATGTTCAACAAAGGAAACAAAAACTGGAAACTACAGGATGCCTTTCCCCAACATGAAAAGATTCTGTTTGTCTAATCCTGGTGGGAGGCAGAGCAGGAGGAACTGTCCCACTAGAGTCCATCAGTGTGATGATACCTTTCCATTCTTCTCTATTGGCTTCCTGTCTTGAGCCTTTCCCTTCTTCTCACGGCCAAGCCTTGGACCATTCTCGCTGACAGCCTTCTCCTTCTTCTCTAGTCTGGCCTTTGGTTGTCTCGGCTTGGCCTCAGCCTTTGAGGAACCGATCCCCAGAGTCTCTTTGGGTGAATCAGGGCTACTAGGTATCATGCTATGCAATTTTTGTGTAGGTGGAGCAAAGGCTTTCTTTGGTCCCTTTCCACATTCTGAAAGAAATGTTATTCAGATGGAATTCATGATACACAATCTAACAGAAGTTGCCAAACACTACCATTGACTAGCCATATCAGAATTATAAAAGCTTTAACAAATTCAGATTCCTAGGTTTCTTCCTGTCTACTCCGCCCACCTCCAGGCCTGACATTATGATGAAGTAGTATGGAATGAAGCTCAGAAATCTATAATTTTGGGGCTGGGGATTTAGCTCAGTGGCCTAAGTGCCTGCCTGGCAAGTGCAAGGTTGTGAGTTCAAACCCCACTACCTTAAAAAAAAAAAAAAGAAATATATAATTTTATAAGGATAACTGGCTCTGATAAACTGCCAGGTTTGGGAGCCACTAAGTAATTTAAAGGTGATAATATTTTTTTTTTGGCTTTTTTTTTTTTTGGTAGCGGGATTCGAACTCACAACTACAGGCTTACACAGCAGATGCTTATGCTGCTGCGCTAAATCCCCAGCCCCTAAAGGTGATAAATGCAAGCACATAAGAAGCAGAATTATTAACAATATGTAATCTATTAACTAGTGATTTCCTACTGTTTATTTTTTCTAGAATTTTGTATAACTTGTACCCTTTTTCTGGTTTTTTTTCTTTTTCTCCTTTAATAAAAAAAAAAGAAGTGGAATTATTAAGTGTGAAATTTTTATAATTTGCTCATTTTAACTTTGGATAACATTTTTGAGAAATTAGCTAAACAGCTAGTCAAAATCTATAAATTATTCAAAGCCCACTCTTACGCCTCCTCCTCTATGAAAATTATACTGATCCTCCAAGATGTAAGTAGTATCTATTTCTTTTCTGCTTCTATATTTCTATGCATCTCTTGGTAGCATTCACCATATTCATCTTTATGCTATAGACACATTTAAATATCTTTTTTCTACTTAGGAGTTCATACCTTCCCTGAGCAGAATTTTCTAAGCCATATTTTTCTCAAAGCATCTAGCAGAGTAATAATTTTAACAGAGCAAACACAAAATATGTGTGAAGTGAACTGCCTCTTGGTAGGAAAGATGTCAGAAGGAGAAAATGAGAAAAATGTACAAAGCAACCCCTCCATTCTTGACTCACCCTCTTTCTTCTGCAGTGTTGCCATCATTCATCTCAGAAATGACACTTTCTTTGCCTTTAGAGAAAATTTTAGAAAGAAATTAACTGCTATGTCTCTGATTAAACATGATTTTAAATTGATCTCCCTTATCTTCTGGGGTTCAAGATCTCTCTGCCTGGAACTCCAAACATGTCAGCCTTCTTGACTACATTTCTATGCCAGAGTGGCCAAGTACATGCCAGGGAATAATGACAGTTGCTGTTTTAAAGATAAGCAGCAGTCCTCAGTGTTTTAAGCACCTATAGCCAAGTCTGATGTGGGCAGATGCCTATCCTTAGCTGGACACTCGGGGGGTAGCAGTAATGACAGTAGTACAGCAGTGGTTGTAAGGTGTGGACAGTGGGAGTTACCAAGGGAGCATGTTCCTCCTTTGACAAAGTTGACCTGAATACTTAGAACACAAATAACTTGGCAATTCTGATCTAATTTAGAGGTCCCTACACATAGAGAACCTTCATTTTAAAAATCATCATAATGTTTCTTTTCCCTTTATTAAAATCCTCAGGTTAATAAACTTCCTCAAATACTGGATTCTATCATCAAAGACTTGGTAACTAGCAGAGGGCCCCACAGAACTTAGAACCTTCTTACTATTCTACCAGAACCTGGTCATGAGAACCTAACACCTTCTTTATATTCATAGTTCATCTTCAGTTGACCTCCACTCCTCTCCTTCTTCTGCTCCTCTTTCCCCGCCTCCTCTCTCCAATCAGTTGGACAGAATTTTGTATCACTATTGAGTAAATAAGATGTAGCAACTCTACAAACAGTTCTATATAACAGTGGTATATATCAGTTCTGTTTAATCTAAGGTGAGAATGTGATGATGAACATTATTATTTTTGCATATCAACAGAAGAAATATCCAGGACTTCACTTTCTGATAATTCAAGATACCTCTCCCTGTTTCAGATTAATTTCTTTTTTCCACAGTAACAAACAATGAAAGAAAAATAAGACATTTAATAGCACGTAAAATATCACTTTCTTCTGAATATACTAGGGGCTCTAGACCAAGAATTAATAATTAAAGTTTTGCTTTATTTTCTTTCTTTAGATAAAAACAATACACAGACATGGGAAAACGGACAGACAGCTACAGAAACAGAGCGAGCCCCAAAGGCCTGTGGAAGTACAATCCCTTAACTGGCTCTCACTCACTCAACTTAAAAGGAGGGTCAGGGCTGGGAGTTTAGCTCAGTGGCAGAGCAATTGTCTGGTATCTTTGAGGCCCTGGGTTCAATCCCCAGCACTGAAAAGGGGCAGAATGGAAGGCTAAGAACAAAATGGTACCTCCTCCCCACAACAAAAATCAACGGAAGGTGAAGGAGAATCTCTTTAAAAAGTAGATATAACATGCTAAAAATTATCATATTAGTTTTGAGATGAAATTACCTAGCCCAGCCTATGTGGGGGCACATGCCCATAATCTGAACACCCTGAGAGGCTGAGACAGAAGTGTGAACCCAGCATAGGCAATTTAGGAATGACAGTGTCTCAAAATAATTGGAGGGAGGTGTTAGCTCAGTGTGAAGACTAACACCAAACTAGTCCAGAGGTTCTCAAAATGTGGCCCAAAAGGAGTTCTCTCCTTTTCCCAACTACATATCCATACTAAGATTCGTTTTTCTCACATACTTCTACCAAAACAAGATAATTACAACAGATTAAATGCAGAAACAGATGAAAAGCTGTTTTCTATTAAGCCAGACATAAGATTTACAAAAATGTTAACAGTGCAACTCATGTTAAATGTCCTTTTGGTTAGGAAAACACCTTTTTATCATAAAAAAATTATGCTAATATGTAATGATTTATGGTTATTTCCAAATAAATACATTTTTTTCAGATTATTTTTGCTATTTGCAGAGGCAGAAAGATTTATTAACCCAACACTCCCTGAATTTTTAATGTTACTATCAACAGATACAAACCACACAAAAGTTCTCTGGAGTTCTCTGTAAATTTTAAGAATATAAATGGATTCAGACCAAAAAGTTAAAAGACGTGATTTAGTGAAGTAATTCAATTCAGTCTTGCCAATATGTTCCCAAAGCATTATCTCTTCAAGATTTCCCTCTCCTGACCATACAGTTATTCCTTCCATATTATTTCTTCAGTCCTCAGACTAAGTAAAATCCCTTAAAAGGTACGGTTCTTTACCAGAGACTTCCTAAGCCTCAAAACATTTCACTATTCAAACCAGGTGCCCCTTGTGCACACCTGTAATTCCACACTGAGGGAGGCTGAGGCAGAAGGATCACAAGTTCCCAAGCAATTTAGGAAGATTCTGCTTTAAAAAATGGATTGAGGATATAGATCCCCAGATGGGGAGGAGGTATACTTAAGTGCTCCTCTAAGGACAAAGTCCAATTTCCTTTTAGCTCGAAGTGTAATAGCACGTGAATGCCTTATTTTCATGCCTCAATGAACAGTAGTGGTTTTCTTTCTTTGTACATGCTTTCTGCAAGCCCAATTTAAAACTTTTAACAAGACAAAAAAAAAAAAAAAGGTTCCAGTTTTCCTTGCTGATCATAACAAATTATTTACTATCAGAAGTAACTACCGGTACTAAACTTCCCACACAGAAGTCTGAAAATCATGGTAGGTTTGGGGCAGTAGCTCATCGGTGTAATGCTTGTCTAGGCCCTGGATTCACCACCTATTATATCAAATAAAATAGTTAATTCATGATAAAGTTTCTTGGAGTGCAGAGAAGCCCAACGATGTACACACCTGTCATTTTATAACTTTTTTTTCCCAGCAACAGCTTGCACTATGGACTGCCAGGACTGCCATAGACCTAAGACCAGCCTTTCAAGTGGTTTTCGCTAAAAACGAGTGTGTACCACCTGACATAGTACACACACCCGTAATTCCAGCACTATGGAAGGAAGTGGGGTTCACAAATTCAAGCCCAGCCTGGGCAATTTGATGAGCCTCTGTGTCACAAAACAAAAATATAGCCAGGCATGGTGGTCCACACATATAAGCCCAGCACTCAAGAGGCTGAGGCAGGTGGATCGCTGCAAGCTCCAGCCCAGCCTAGGCTACCTAGGGAGACTTTATCTCAAAACACCAAAAATAATAATAAAAAAGGGGGCTAGGAGCCATGGTGGTGCTCGCCTGTAATCCCAGCATTCAGGAAAAGTTCACAGAGTTCGAGGCCAGCGCGGCTAGTGAGTTCAAGGCTAGCTTGAACTAGATAACGAGAGTCCCTCTAAAAGGGGAGGGGTCGCTAGGGTGAAGCTCAGTGTGAAGATTCTGGGTTCAATCTCCAGTTCCAAAAACGCGAGGAAGCGCCCCGCTGGAACTCCCAGATCCTGCACCATTCCCCGTCACAGGCGGCCAAGCTCTGGCGCTACAAATGCCGAATCCACCAGGAAACCCAACAGGAAGAACCTTCAGGGGGCTCCTATTTTTCCCGTCTGCCTCAAAACCATTTTTACGGATTACAATTAAAACCAGACATTTGACAGAGTTGGAAGTCCGCATCTCCTCTCAGAAAATAAAATGGCGGCTCCTTGCCCCTCTTCCCCACCAAGAACTCGCCCCTGAGAGACAGTCCCTCACCGCCCCCCTGACATTGAGTTATTTCTGTTTGTTTGTGGTAGTGAGTCGGTGAGAGGTTCTGAGGAGGGACGCGAGCTGGTTGTTGCTCAGAAGATCAAGTTTCTCCTCCGGCAACAGGTACCAGGATCAGCCGCACCTAGCACCTTCATCTCCAACCAAAGAAAAGCCAGCTACCTTACGGGGCGAGGAGGACCTAAAGGCGAGGAGCAGCGCGAGTTGTTGCAGCGATTCTGCAAACTCCAACCTCGATCTACTTTTCCCGCCACTAGGAGAAGGCGCGAAGACGTTGACAAGCTCCGCCCCAGCGGCGTGCTCCAGGACTCTGAGCACATGCGCACCTGGACGCCCGCGTCTGCATTTGCGTAGCTGGGCCATTTCGTTATCTGCTAACACTCCCGAAGACTACAAGTCCCATGATGCTTGCTGATTTCGTTTATATTTAGGCTGCAGCAACAACGCCTGATTATTCTTGAATTACGTTTATTTCACTAGTTTCCCTATCTACACCAGACTGCTTTTTCCTTCCATTTCTCTTGCGGCGTCCTAGTCTTTCTTCTAGTCTCTTTCACGCCTTTATTCCCATCTAATTTGAGATGATCTTGAGCTCAATTCTCGCCTCTACCGCCTGCAACTAAACTTTCAGTTGACTGGGCGGCTAGGCCACCTATCACCCCAGAGAAACGGCGTCCATTCGCTGCTGCTTCCCATTAGCCGAAGCAGTGGCTTCAAAACGGGAAAGTCCCCTTACCCACCCGCCCTCGCTCTTATATAAGGAAGCCCCAAGCCGCCACTCAAGTCTGGAAGGCCCGTGTGCAAGCTGGTGACGGTGGAGAACAGCTGGGAGCCGAGGATGGACGGGCTCTCACGCAGGGCAGGCTCCGGATAGTGGGCGGAGGCAGAGAGGAAAGCGTGGTGTAACCAGGTGATCCCAGTTGGGAACGATCGCGCAGGAGCAAGAGAACGACTCAGCCATTTCGGAGAAGAGGAAGTTAGACAACTTTAGCTGTTTTAGTGTTTGTTTTTTCCAACTCAGCAGGTATTTCCGAGTTTAAATGGTCTATCGCATGTTATTGAGAATAGTTCGTAGTAAGATGGTCACTGCGCCGCGTTCCTCCCCATTAAAGTGCACCCCTTGCGCTCCCTTATAGAAGACCTACGTGGGCGGGGGGAACACCGTCTGTCGTGAATAATTCATAAGGGCCGCCCCTTTCGCTGGGAGGCTACGCCCCCCAAGTCGCGCTGACGCTTGCAGCGTATACCAAACCTGAGGAAGCAACGTAATGTCCCTGCCCCCAAGACGGAGGGCGGGGCATCATCTCCAGCACGTGCTGCCTCTAGGCGCGCAAGCCCAAAAGGGGCACTGTGCGCAGGCGCTGCCCACTAGGGGGAGGAAGGAGGCGGGGTAGGGAGGTTGTTGGGTTTAGAGCCGGGCGGAGACCGCTGAGACTCATTCCTCAGGAACAAGGGTCGGGTGTCAAGGAGACCTTTTCACACCAGCTCCCCGTCCCCCGCCTACGGTGGGTGGGATCGCGCGGAAGAGACAAAGGATATCAGTAGGGCCGGACATAGCTGCGAAGGGAAGTAGGGTGTCCGTTCTGGGTGGTGGGCTTCTGGTGGGGGACTAAAGGGAGGCTATATTTAAACTCCTGGAGCCGTTAAGTTGGTTCGCATTCGGATGCGCGCGCAGCCAGGGTGGTGGCGGAGTGCGCATGCGTGGTCCGGGGGCGAGAAGAACGCGCGCTAGCCGTGCGCGCTCGCGGCGGAGTGGTAGTGGTGGCGGAGAAAGGGGTCGGCGCACGCGCGGTTGATTCTTCGGGTTGTTCGGGTCTCGCGGGCATCTTGTTTTGGGCTCGCGGGCGAGTAGGGCGCGCTTCGGGGAGGGGGAAAGCGCTTGGGCTCGAGGCGATCGGAACAGAGCTGCGCGCGCACTCGGGAAAGGGGGGAAGGGAACGCGGTCCAGGAAAGGGGGCTTAAGCCCCCGATCTCCCCACCCCCGTACTCCGACTGGGACGGAATAAGGGGAGGAAATGATCGAGATGGCGGCGGAGAAGGAGCCGTTTCTGGTGCCGGCCCCGCCGCCTCCACTCAAAGATGAGTCGGGCGGAGGGGGCGGCCCCGGGGTGCAGCCGCACCGGGAGGCCGCCTCCGGAGAGCCCTGCGGCGGGACAGAGCGCAGCCCGGGCCCCTGCACACTCTCGGTGGGGCCTCCGGGTTCTGGGACCCCTGCCAGTCCCCGGGGCGGTCCGGCCCAGCCGCAGCGAGGGGGCGGCCCCCAGGCGCAGCCGCACGGGGAGGCCCGCCTGGCGGAGCCCCACGGGCGAGCCGCTCCCCAGGACGTGGGGGAGGAGCGCCGGGGAGGGGCGGGGACTGAACTGGGGCCCCCTGCCCCTCCCCGGCCCCGAAATGGCTACCAACCTCACCGGCCCCCCGGGGGAGGTGGGGGCAAGAGAAGAAATAGCTGTAATGTGGGAGGAGGTGGTGGCGGCTTCAAACATCCGGCCTTTAAGAGACGCCGGCGGGTGAATTCGGACTGTGATCCCGTGTTGCCTTCCAACTTCCTCCTGGGGGGCAATATCTTTGATCCCCTGAACCTGAATAGCCTCCTGGATGAGGAAGTGAGTCGTGCACTTAATGCGGAGACCCCTAAGTCATCCCCACTTCCGGCCAAGGGACGAGATCCAGTGGAGATCCTCATCCCCAAAGATATCACAGACCCGCTCAGTCTCAATACTTGCACTGATGAGGCCCACGTAGTTCTTGCTTCGCCACTCAAGACTGGTCGCAAGCGGCATAGACACCGGGGACAGCACCACCAACAGCAGCAGGCATCTGGAGGGACCGATAGCCACGCGGTGCTACCCACAGCCCCCTTGACTCCCTCACTTCAAGGGGAGGGTGCCACGCAGCAACAACGGCACCGGGGCCAGAACCGGGATGCCCCCCAACCCTATGAACTCAACACAGCCATCAACTGCAGGGATGAGGTCGTGTCTCCCCTTCCATCTGCCCTGCAGGGTCCCTCAGGCTCCCTTTCAGCCCCTCCAGCTGCCTCAGTTACCTCTGCACCCTCGTCTTCCTCCTCCCGACATCGCAAACGACGCAGGACTTCCAGCAAGTCGGAGGCAGGGGCTAGGGGTGGAGGCCAGGGTCCCAAGGAAAAGGGCCGAGGGAGTGGGGGAGGCCGCCACCACCCGCTACCTACAGCAGGCTTCAAAAAGCAACAGCGCAAGTTCCAGTATGGGAATTATTGCAAGTACTATGGGTATCGCAATCCTTCCTGTGAGGATGGGCGCCTTCGGGTGTTGAAGCCTGAGTGGTTTCGGGGCCGGGACGTCCTTGATCTTGGCTGCAATGTGGGTCATCTCACCCTGAGCATTGCCTGCAAGTGGGGCCCATCCCGCATGGTAGGGCTGGATATCGATGCCCGGCTCATCCACTCAGCCCGCCAAAATATCCGACACTACCTGTCTGAGGAGCTGCGTCTCCCACCACAGACTTCTGAGCAGGAGCCAGGGGGAGAAAGTGAGGAAGGGACTGCCACCGTCAAAAAAAGAAGCTGCTTCCCAGCCTCACTGACAGCCAGCCGGGGTCCTATTGCAGCACCCCAAGTCCCCTTGGATGGAGCAGACACATCTGTCTTCCCCAACAATGTGGTCTTCGTCACGGTAAGAGTCTGAAGGCCCTTGGAATAGGGGCCAGGTAGGAAGATGAGATTGAGAAAGTGGTGGAATGGCTATTACCGGGAAGTATTTCCCTGTATCCACTCCTCACTAGGAAAACCAGCTCCGCAAGAGAAAGGTCTGGATTGGTCAGTGAGAACCTCTGCAGGGTTTCTCTCTCCTATAACCTGGGAGTGTGTCTCTTACCATGGAGCTCCTTAACCCTGGGGTTTTTCTTAGGATTGCAAAGATCTTACCCAAGATTGGGATGATTTCCATAGCCCTGTTTTTTGGAGGATGCTTCTGCCACTCACTTCATTCCAGATGAAACCTGGTCTTAGAACCTACTGAGAGACCTGAGGGTTTGAGTATAAGAAGGGAATGCCTTGGGGGGGGGGGGGAGACTAGGGTAGTGGCAGATTTAGTATGTGTAGCATCCGTCCTTTGATAGGGACCATATTTCGTATCAGCTGTTTGCGTTTCCCTAGATACAGAGTTTGAGAAGGGTCAGTTTTCAGGAACCCAATCCAGCACTAGGCTTTAGATTTTCTTCATGATGACCCTGAATAACAGGAGGGGGACAGAGACTCTTCTGTATGGAAGAAGTTCCTAGCAGCACATAGCTTCCCACAAAACTGTCCTCAGCTGTCTGCAGAAGTATCTGCCAGTGTATTGGTTAAGCCTCAAGAAAGGACATTCCAGAGGGTAATGGTGAACTTATCATCTAGAAAAGGTTTCCTGTGGGATGTGACTTTTCATTTCAGATAAAGAATAGGTCTGAAATTTTGCCCAACCAAGGACCCATGGGTCTCCTCTTAACCTGGCTAGGCTCCCTGTATAACATGAATTGCCTCATATTTGTGTGGGAGTATCCCAGCTTAGAAAATCACAAGGATCAGTTGCTCAATTTTTTTTTTTTTTTTTTTTTTTTAAGACGGAGCTTGATTATGTAGTTCTGGCTGGCCTTAAATTCACTTTGTAGCCCAGGCTGGTCTGAAACTCATAGTGATCTTCCTGCCTCAGCCTTCCACAAGAGTATTAGAATTACAGGCTTGCACCACTATGCCTAGCCCACTTAATCAATTTAAAATTACCTGGCCTCCCTTTTAAATTTATTAATTTTCCCCCAGTAGAAAACAGAGCCAGGAAAATATAAATTGAAAATGAGACTGCAACAGGGTACCTTTGGGAAATTTTCCAAGGAGTATAAACAGAAAAATGTGACAACCAGCTGAAGTGCAGCTGTAGGAATTTCTCAGTTAAGGACCAGTTGTGGAGGCCAGTGGTTTTTTTGGGTTCCTTACTAATGTCACCCCATTCTTGATTTTAGGGCAACTATGTGCTGGATCGAGAGGAGTTGGTGGAGGCCCAGACAGCTGAGTATGATGTGGTGCTCTGCCTCAGCCTCACCAAGTGGGTGCATCTGAACTGGGGAGACGAGGGATTGAAGCGCATGTTCCGAAGGATCTACAGGCACCTGCGCCCTGGAGGCATTCTGGTCCTAGAGCCCCAGCCATGGTCATCCTATGGCAAGAGAAAGACTCTCACAGTGAGTTGGACTTCTGTACAAATACAAATAATCCTTTGACTAGGGCAAGAAAGTCAAGGAAGCAGACTTTCTGAGTAAGATGAAGGGCCCTATTTGTGGCCAGGGTAGGAGGAGTTACCTAACATGATCTCCTTGCCTTTCTTCTCCCCAGGAAACAATCTACAAGAACTACTACCGAATCCAGCTAAAGCCGGAACAGTTCAGTTCTTACCTGACATCCCCAGAGGTGGGCTTCTCCAGCTATGAGCTCGTGGCCACACCCCACAACACCTCCAAAGGTAAGGCTGGCTCATTTTGCTGAGAGAGCAGACCCTGTGGAATCCCAAGGTCTTGTCAGCCTATTTCCTGATTGAATGCTTTCCCCCCTTAGGCTTCCAGCGTCCTGTGTACCTGTTCCACAAGGCCCATTCCCTGGACCACTAAGTGGCCCCCTGAAGAGATGGTGTGAAGAGGCTGCCCTTGCTGCTTCTAAGGACCTGGGAGAAAACTATCCCAGGTCTTTCTGACTCTAAAGTTCCTGTCTTGGATCTGCAAAGAAAGCTTTTTAAAAAGTTGCTGCTCCAGCCACCTCCCTACATCCTCTGGCATTTGAGCAGCAAGTCCAGCTGTGCTGGAGTTACTGTCATCTTCTGCTCCCCCTGCCCATTGGGCTGGATGGCATGGATGGATTGCTGATCTGTTCTCCTAGGATATGGGAAGTGGCAAGCATCAAATTCTCCAATCCTTTCCTTCCACTCTCCCAGGGAGATTCTCTGTTCTCCTCAGCCCTTTTCTCTAGCTGCAGTTCAGTGGACCACAGAATAGACTGAGGGTTAGAGGGGGAAGCTTGGCAGGGAGGCACACTGTACTGTGAAAATCCTTCCTTCTGCTGTCCCCCAGTGGGGAAGAGGGCTGGGTTTGGAATGCGAGAGCACAATAAACTTGATGTCTTGGGCAATGGCCCCCACACCTGTGTCTACTGCTTTCTAGCTGGAGAATGGATGGCACCTCAGAACCTGTGCTTCCTGTCAGTTCTCAGGTCTCAAGGAAGAGTGCAAGTTTTTAGGGTTGGGGAGACTGCCGAAGGCTATCAGTATCAGCAAAAGGGAGGTATAACACAATTTTTGATGTGCAACTTTTCAACTTCCTTCAAAATTGTGTTGACAATTTATTTCGTGTGAGTTTTGGGCAAAAGGCTAACTTTGTAGGACCTTAGGGAGCTAGAAAAATGTACTCGGGGTCAGAGCCACAAACTCCTAGAACCCACCATTCATCTTTTTATGTTTGGGAAATCTATTGGCAGTCAGCAACGTAAAGCGCTTAAGTGGTTTGTCAAGGATCACTGGAGCGTTGAACAGTCATTCAGCAAATCCTGAGCACTCGGGTCAGGTGTAAACAAAATGGCCCTCGGTAAAGCAAGCAGGTAATTGGCAGTAAAAGCAGGTAATTGCAAAGGACCCCCTTACAGGATCCTTGAGACACAGGAAAGCCACTCATCAATGTGATAGGCAATGGAGGAGGGGAGGATATCTTTCCCTGTCAATGGGCCTTGTGGATGCTAAGCTCACATGCTTACCATTAAATAATTGGTTGAGCTTGGTGACATCAAAGTGGTGGCTGTAATTATTGGAGGCAGGAAGCCGGCAGAGTAATCTAATTCCTGACTTGAACAGTGTTTTCCACTTGTCATCCCTTTTTACCAAGTTCCCAAAATGAAGGCCCAAAACTGTCCAGCCTGCAGCAAAGTGGGCAAACCCCTGGTAGGGTTTTGGCCCCAAGTTTGGCTCCGTCAAATTTCATCTATTAGCCACACTACTTTATTCCAAAAAGTTTTGACAAAAGTAGAAACCAGCGATCCAAGGAGCTCTGGTATCTAAGCCTCCCACCGCCTGAGTGTCCGGTGCATGAGAAAGGTGTCCTCTGGGGGGCGAGTCCGGGCTTGCAGGCGGAGAGGGGGCAGCCCGTCCACCGTCAGGTGTGGAGATTCATAGCACAATGAGTCTGGGTCGCACAGCACGGTCATGTCGGGCCCTGGTCCAGGTGGCTCCTGTTAGAATCAGTCCCCAAAGCCAGGTTAGAGGGGAACGAAGAATCCGCGACGAGGGCTGGCAGGGGACGCGGAGAGAGCCCAGCTGCGGTCCCCTCACCTTCGGGGGCGGGGCGCGGGCCTGCGGTGGCAGCAGCGCCAGCCTCTCTCGCAGCGCGGCGTTGAGAACCTGCTCCTCCGGCACCTGCAGGCTCACCAGGTTCCGGAAGAGCCGCCGGGAGCGCGGCACGTTCAGCCCTGTGGGCGCGAGGGCAACGGGCGTGAGCAACAACTCCCGCCGCCGCGACTCCCGCGCCCCGCTGGCCGCACGCCCGCCTCACCCTCCGCCACGCTGCCCTCCAGGCTGCAGCGGGTCTGGAATGACTTCCGCAGCTGTTCCTCCACGGCCTTCGCGGCATCAAACGGAGCCGCAGCGCGCGCGGCCTGCAACTCGAGGCCTAAGGCCAGGCTGCTGTGCGGCGCAGGAGCCTCCAGCTCGTGCGGCGCGGCAGACGGCGGCTCCGGCCGGACCGGGGACCGCGCTGGCGCCAGGCGAAAGCGGACCTGGGGGCGGAGAGCGAGGCGGTGAGGGCTGCGCCTCCGTAGGCCTGGAGCTGGAGGCAGGCCTCTCCGCGGCTCACCTGCCGCCCTCTCTGGGCTCCGACTCGTCGGCTCGCCCGCCCCTTCCTCCGCCCTGGGCTGCTGTCCTGCGGTTCCGGGCTCTCGGGCAGCGGACTCAAACTCAGGTCCAGGCCAGGCTCGGGCACTGGGGCTCGGGGTTCTGGGGCTGGGGGATCTGGAGGTGGGCCCGGGACTGCCACAGACTCCAGGTCTGGCTCCCTACAGCTCATCATCTCGGGATTGCTGAGAGGGTGCGAGATCGCAAGTTGGCCTGCAATTGCAGATTTCAGACTCGCCGCCTCCTCAGCGCCCCCGCCCCTCCTGACACCTCTACCGGAAACCGTTATCCTTACGAGAGGGGCGGGTGCTGAGGCTATCTCGCCCCGCCCCATTGGTGCGCCTAGGACGTCATTTCCTTTGCCCCGCCCCCCGTCTTCCAGAAGGTTTCTGCTTGCCAAACCTATCTCTGCCCCTGAGGCGAAGTGTTACTATCGAAACTTTAGAAGTCCACTGGTCCTCATTAGGATCACTTCTCCTTTCCAAAACTCTAGTACGGCTTCCTGGCCTGTGTGAATCTCAATTTCTGGTCGAGTGTAAAGTTAATCCTCGCTGTACTGCGCCGAGTGGAACAAGCTTAACTAAACAACACAGTGTCCCTGCGCCGTGCCACTGCTCCATGTCACTGACAATGGAGAAATTTAACTGCTAATCTGCTACAGGTCAGATGTTCCTGCCCCTCGATAGCAAAGATTGAATTCCAAGGAACAACAGAAGATAAAAGTAGGATAGGTTTTTATTAAGAGTGCTTGAGAGACACGAGGGGTCTTGAAAGTGGGTTGCCGCTGAGGCCGCTTCTCGTTTTACAGAGCAAAATCAGGAGGCGGGTCAAACTATAATGAACCAATAAGATTACAAGTATAGCCGCTTAGCTAATATTGAACCGATAGGGAACTGCGGTACCTAGCAGGGGTATATGGCTAGCGTCATAAACACAAAATGAGACTAATTTTGTCATCAAGATGCATATATGTGGATTTGACCCATATTTATTCTTTAAACTATTTCTATTGGTTTAATTTTATGAATTTCATTATATTAAACAGAAAGTACTTAAGAAAAATATTACAAAATTATTGAGCTTTAATATTCGTTGTTAATAAACCATTAAAAATTTCAAACATCGATTGGTTTTTGGTGTATCAAGTCTAAAATGGAACATCAGAAATAAGTTCTCACATGAATTACAATGAAAATACCAATAGCAGGCTTCAAAAAAAATCTTCAATTAACACATCTAAGGCAGTCTGCACACATGACAATAGCACATTCCATACACACCTATCACATACAGTGACATCACATGTCTTTTGCTTTCTTGGCTTTTTTTTTTTTTTCTGGCCTTTTTGTTGGACATACTTGACATCTCAGTGGTCTTCCTAATTCTTACACGGTGTGTAGTTAACAGGATAGTAAAATATCAATAAAACAAATTATTAAGTCCTTAATATGTATTGTACATTTAGAATAAACATCAATATTTTCATATCAGCTGTGTACTTCCTTACAAACCCTAAAAAATAACATAAGAAACAAATTCCTACAGGAACTACAATGAAAATACCAATAGAACTCTACCACAAAAGTAAGCTTTATTTCAAATGTCACACCCCAGGAAGTCTTCACAAATGAAAAATGCATGTTCCACACACAAGTATCGCTTATACTGATAGCGTGTATTTCATCCTCCTGTACTTGCTTGTAGGACACAGTTGACATCTTATTTTCTTGTTGTCTTTATGCTACTGCACCAGTCTATTGACCTGCCATCTCACCAGGGTGCTCTACAACTTTTTGCATACTTCCTTGAGAAGAAACATTTTGTTTTTCCTCTGCTGTAAATAATCTCTTGTGCACTCTAGTCCCAATCCTTTAAGAAAATTTCTCCATGATATTTTACACTTGTTATTTTCTTTGTAAACTATCAAACTATTTATGCCACACAATGTTTAGGATTGAGTGAAAAACAACCACTGGCCAATATTTTGTGTTTCAAGTGACATCATAGCTGCTGCATAACTCAGCAACAACCTCTACTCCACCTTAAGTTGTGTTGTTGAGAGCTTCCTTTTCAGGCTTCCCTTTTGTCAAAAGTTCTCTATCAAATGTTTCCATTATAGTGAAGTGTTGACATCAGCAGTACCAGTTTGCTTTTCTTTGCCATATCTGAGGCCAATGTTATATCTATGATATTCAAAGATTGCACTATACAGTTCTCTGTTTTGAAACTGCAACATTTTATCTGGAATTTCTGCTTTGTTCCTGTGTACAGTTCCTGTTCTGGTCAGCTTGTGCTCTGTTACCAAATGTAACATCAACTGGAAATGGAAAAAAGAATGGTCAAATGTCACATTCTGATTAGTTTGTGAGATGGGAGCAACAAGTCTGTTCACTACATTGTTTGGTTTACTACTGTATGAATAAGGACCTAGTGGCTGAGTTCCAGGATTTTGACCCATGATTTTTCCATAAGTCTTTTACATTCCTGTGATCACCATGAGAAATCTGTGCTAAGTGTGGCAGACCTGTGAATGCTTTCAGCTAGCGAGGTGTCACAATAAATATATTTTTGAATATGGCTATGAGTACATACAGGATGTTTTACTTGCATTTCAGCTATTATATATTTCACAGCATCTCATAACATTTTGTGATGTGATTCGTGTCTCAGTGTCCCCCCAAAGCCTCATGCAGTCATGGGAGCAGGCTTCTAGAATTTGTGATTGATTCACAATCCAATGTTGAGATTATGGGTGTGAGTGCCATACACACCCTAGAATGGGTAGTGTACATACAACATAAGGGACAGAAAGAGCCTTCTCCCCTTTTTGCACACTGCTTTTGCTGTCTTCCACTACCATGAATTGTTGCTCTGCCATGTGTCACTCTGCCTTGGAGCCAGCCAATTATGAACTGAAACTTCCACAGACTGTGCACTAAATAAACCTCTCCTTCCTTAATTTGGGGCATCAGATATTTTCTCTCAGCAGTGAGAGAAAAATAACTAACACAGAATTTGGTACCAGGGAAGTGGAATTGTTGCTGTAACTGTACCTGACCCATAGGTTCAAGAGACTATGGGAATGGCTGGTGGGAAGATTTTGGAAAGGTCCAGAGATGTTGCCTGAGAGAGTAGCACTGGAACACTTTAGGCTGTTCTGTATGCGAGATTCTGGTCAGAGCTCAGAAGACCAGAAGGCTGATAGAAATCCCACCAGTAAAGACCAGGTTTGGGAGATTTTCACTGAATGCTTCCTCCACATTGTTTATATGCATTGGGTTCCTCTCCAGGGTGAGATTCATTATATAAAAGGAGGACTCAGTAGCAAATCTTTTTCTACATGGCTCACATGCATATATTTTCTTGTCTGTGTGAGTTTTCACGTACTTGACAAATTGGTATGTAGCGAATGCCTTTCCATTTTACTTGCACACAAAAGTTTTCTCCCCACTGTGAGTTCTTTCATGTATTTGGCAAGATTGAAGTGCAGCAAATGTTTTCCCAGAGTGCTTGCACACATAAGGTTTCTCCCTAGCATGAATTTTTAAATGTATGTTAAAATAAGTCTTTGTGGTGAATGCTTTTCCACAGTGCTTGCACACATTAAATTTCTTCCTAGTATAAGTACTTTCGTGTATTTGACAAGATTAATGTGCAGTGAATACATTCCTACAGTTTTGGCAAATATAAGGTTTCTCCCCTGTATGATTTTTTTTCATGTATGTTAGAATAAGTTTTTGTAGTGAATAATTTTCCACATTGCTTATATACATGGGGATTCTTCTCTATATATATTCTTTCAAGAATTTTGCAGTTTTGAGTATTGAAGATTTTTCCATTTGCTTGCATACATTTGGTTTCTTTTCAGTGTGAATTCATTCATGGAATTGAAAACCATGGGGGGGGGCTGGTAACTTTCACACCTTTCTGACCAACAATTACCTTCTCTCTAGAGTGAGCTCTTTTACTAAGTTCACAGTAGGATTTCCCACATTGCTCCTTTTGATAGGGTTCCTCTCCATTCTTTGTCCTTGCACTGCTCCTTGGGACTGAAAGTCACTGCAGGTTTCTTCCATGTTCGTTACATTTACTCAGCTTGTCATCAGATCCCAAATTTTCCTGTGGCTTCTCTCCAGGGTAAGGTAAGATGGGCACATTTCATGATAAATTCCCAATTAGAATCTCTCCACAAACAAGACTTTTAGTTGGCTTTAAGGCAGCTTTTTGCATGACCACATTGGTATCTAAAGTCCAAAGGAATATGTTTTCAATGTTGATTGCAAGTTTTACAATGACAGTATTTTACTACCTCTTCATTTCTGAGATTTCTTGAGCAATTTTTGTATTCTTCCATTTGCTGGTGGTCCCGACTCCTTCCTATAGCATTTAGATTCCTAAATATTTCCCATGGCTCATCTTTGTAGTGCTTTTTTTGGGATGGATTCAGCAGAGCCCACTCATTCCTAGTGAAGTTTACAGTTACATCCTCCATGGTCACTGCCTCCCTTTTGTGTCATGTGAGTTTCCCAGAATTCTTTGAATGCGGGGTGTAACCAGTAGGAGTTACAGAAAAGGGTGGTCTAGTCAGTTGGGCCTCTTAACAATGAACCTCTTAGCTGTGCTGTTTGGCACCATGACTCAGAAGGAAATCTGTAAATTCTAATGAAAAGAACAGAAACTTTTTGGAGAGCAATGATCCAAACTTCTGATCACTCACCCGGACATCTGATGACTATCTGGACTTCCTGAGCTAGGTGATGATAATTATAATTCTCAAGTTGGTGTTATCCCTTAGGAGGCATGTAAACCTGGCCATTGTCACTTCATCCTGAGGCCTGGCCTTGTCAAGATGGGCCTCTAGGCACAGTTTTGAAGTGCCTCATTTTCTGCACTGCCTTCGCTTTCTGACAGCCTATTAATTTCTAACTTAGCTGCTTATATCAGTAATCTGTGTGTCTATTACATATTTGTTAATCCTACACTGACTTAATTACAGTAGTGAGCCTCCACACTAGTGCATGACTTCCTTCTACTTTATTCCTTTTTTAAAGATAAAGTCTCACCCTGCAGTTCAGCCTTCCCCTGAACTATGAAGCCCACGTTGGCCTCAAACTTACAGCAACCCACCTGCTTCAGTTTCCCAGTGGGATTACAGGCATGTGCCACCATGCCCAGCTCTTTTACTTTATTTTATTCTTTCTTTCTTTGTTTTGTCTTTTTCCTTTTTATCGATACCAGGGATCAAACTCACGACTGCCTGCCTGCAAGTGAGAAGCTTATGCCGCTGAGCTAAATCCCCAGCCCCAC